GCAGATCGCCACTTACGTGCTGCTCGCGTCGTCGTCGTCGCTCGTCGACGGCACTGAAATCCCAAGAGGGCCCCAATACGGCCCAAGAGCCGCCCAAGACGGCCCAAGAGGCTCCCAAAAAAACGACCGCTATCGGGCCCGAGCCTTTTCAGGGCTCGGACGCGAGAGGCCCCCAAACTCGCCCAATAGGCCTCCGAGATGGCCCAAGGACAGCCCGAGAGGCCCCCAAGACGACCCCAAGAGGACCCCAAGACGGCCCAAGAAGCTTCCAAGACGCCCAAAATGGCCTCCAAGACGGCCCCGAAGCCCCAAGAGAGCCCCAAGACGACCCAACAGCCGCCCAAGACGGCCCAAGAGGCCCCAAAAGGACGACCACTATCAGGCCCCAGCCTTGTTCAGGGCTGGGACGCGAGAGGCCCTCTAGATCGCCCAAGAGGCCTCCAAGGTGGGGCCAGGGCGGCCCAAGAGGCCCCCAAGACGGCCCAAAAGAGGGCCCCAAGACGGCCCAAGAAGCTTCCAAGTCGCCCAAAAAGGCCTCCAAGACGGCCCTGAAGCCCCAAGAAGGCCCCAAGACGACCCAAGAGCCGCCCGAAACGGCCCAAGACTTCCCAAGAGCCGCCCAAGACGGCCCAAGAAACGCCCAAGACGGCCAGAGGGTGCCGAGCAGCCAAGGAGCGCGCCCCCAAGACATGCCACGGACACCTCTCTCTTTTTTTTTCTCTCTCTCTCTCTCTCTCTCTCTCTGTCTCTCTTTCTTTCTTTCTGTCTCTCTCTCTCTCTCTCTCTCTCTCTCTCGCTCTCTCGCACCCATGAAGCGCGCGAACGAGACTGACTGGACTGACTGGACTGGGCGTATCTGTTCGGAGGACAGTGCATTTTCGGCGAACCAGGGCGCAACCTATGGGGCCACCAATAGGAAGCGGTTTTCGTTTCGGCGGCCGAAGGCGCAACCTATGGCGCAACCAATAGGAGGACGTTTGATTCTCGGCGGCTCTGCGTCACTCGAAGCCGCGCCTGTCGGCCCTCATCCGCCTCCATGGTAGGCGTGCGGCTCCCTACCTTCCGTCCATCATGGTCATGATCACCATCGTCTCGTCCTCCTCATCCGCATCCTCCTCGTCCTCCTTGTCATCCTCGTACTCGTCGTCCTCCTCCTCCGCCTCGTCTTCCTCCTCCTTCCTCCTCCTCCTCCTCCTCCTCCTCCTCTCCTCATCATCATCATCATCATCATCATCATCATCATCATCGCCCTCTTCCTCCTCCTACTCGTCCTTGTCGTCATCATCGCCGCCCTCCTCATCGTTCTCGTCCCCCCCCTCCTCTTCCTCATCCGCCTCCTCGTCTTCATCAAATGGATGGTAGGGGAGCGTGCGGCCCCCTACCTTCCGTCCATCATGGTCATGGTCACCATCGCCTCGTCCTCCTCATCCGCATCCTCCTCGTCCTCCTCGTACTCGTCGTCCTCCTCGTCCCCCTTCTCCGCCTCGTCCTCCTCGTCGTCGTCCCCGTTCCTCCTCATCATCGTCCTCCTCCTCGTCCTGCTCCTCCTCATCCTCGTCCTCCTCCTCATCCGCCTCCTCGTCCTCATCAGATGGATGGTAGGGGGGCATTCGGCCCCCTACCTTCCATCCATCATGGTCACGGTCACAATCGCCATCCTGCTCCGGATCCTCCTCACCGTCCTCCTCGCCTTCCTCGTCATCCTCGTCCTCCACCCTCTTCTCCTCCTCCTGCTCCTCCTCCTCTTCATTCTCCGACTCCCCCCTTCTCCTCCTACTCCCCCTCCTCGTCCTCCTCGTCGCCCCCCTGCTCTTTCTCTTCCCCCTCGCCCTCCCTCTTCGCCAGTTCGTCCCCTCAACCACTCCGCCGGCTGCTGGGGTCGCGGCAGCGCCAGGAGGAGGAGGAGGAGGGGTGGGAGGAGGAGTCCGGAGGAGGAGGAGGAGGAGGAGGAGGAGAAGGGAGGAGGAGAGGAGGAGGATGAGAAGGAGGAGGAGAGGAGGAGGGGAGGAGGAGGAGGAGGAGGAGGAGGAGGAGGAGGAGAGGGGGGGAGGAGGAGGAGGAGGAGAGGAGGAGGAGGAGGAGGAGGAGGAGGAGGAGGAGGAGGAGGAGGAGGAAGGAGGAGGAGGGGAGGAGGAGGGGGGGGGGGGAGGAGGAGGAGGAGGGGGGAGGGGAGGAGGGAGAGGAGGAGGAGAGGAGGGAGGAGGAGGAGGAGGAGGAGGAGGAGGAGGAGGAGGAGGAATACGGATGCGCACGCTCGTTCGACGTCGTGAGATTTACGCGACCACGATGCTCGAGCGTGAGGGGCGAGCATGGCTGAGAAGTGTGGGTGGGTGGGGGCGGTGGTGGGTGGGTGGGGGGGGGGGGGCGAGCGCGGGGGCAGAGTGTGAGTGGCGAGTGCTACGTGCGAGCGTGGGCGTAGAGTGCCGAGGTCGAGTGTGGGGGGCGAGTGCGTTGGCCGAATGCGAACGGCGAGTGCGGAGTGCGAGTGTGGGGCGCGAGTGTGTGCGCGTATAGCGTGGGCGTAGGGTGCGGGGGTCGAGCGCGGGGGGCGAGCGCGGGGGCCGAACTCGAGGGGCGAGTGTGGAGTGCGAGTGTGGGGCGCGAGTGCGTGCGTAGAGCGTGGGCGTAGAGCGTGGGCGTAGAGCGCGGGGGTCGAGTGTGGGTGGCGAGTGTGGGGGCTGCGTGCGAGGGGCGAGTGTGGAGTGCGAGTGTGGGGCGCGAGCGTGCGCTTAGAGCGCGGGCGTAGAGCGCGGGGGCCGAGCGCGGGGGGCGAGCGCGGGGGCCGAGCGCGAGGGGCGAGTGTGAAGTGCGAGTGTGGGTCGCGGGTGTGTGCGTAGAGCGTGGGCGTAGAGTGCGGGGTCCGAGTGCGGGGGCCGAGTGCGAGGGGCGAGTATGGAGTGCGAGTGTGGGGTGCGAATGTGTGCGTACAGCGTGGGCGTAGAGTGCGGGGGTAGAGTGCGGGGGGCGAGTGCGGGGGCCGAGTGCGAGGGGCGAGTGTGGAGTGCGAGTGTGGGGCGCGAGTGTGTGCGTAGAGTGTTGGCGTAGAGTGCGGGGGCAGTGTGCGGGGGTCCTGTGCGGGGGCCGAGTGCGAGGGGCGAGTGTGGGGTGCGAGTGTGGGGCGCGAGTGTGTGCGTAGAGTGCGGGCGTAGAGTGCGGGGGCCGAATGCGGGGGTCGAGTGTGGGGGCCGAGTGCGAGGGGCGAGTGTGGAGTGCGAGTGTGGGGTGCGGGTGTGTGCGTAGAGCGTGGGCGTAGAGTGCGGGGGTCGAGTGCGGGGGTCGAGTGCGAGAGGCGAATGTGGAGTGCGAGTGTGGGGTGCGAGTGTGTGCGCAAGGCGTGGGCGTGGAGTGCGGGGGCAGAGCGCGGGGGTCGAGTGCGGGGGCCGAGCGCGAGGGGCGAGTGTGGAGTGCGAGTGTGGGGTGCGGGTGTGTGCGTAGAGCGTGGGCGTAGACTGCGGGGGCCGAGTTCGGGGGTCGAGTACGGGGGCCGAGCGCAAGGGGCGAGTGGGGCGTGCGAGTGTAGGGCGCGAGTGTGTGCGTCAAGTGCGGGCGCTAGTGTGGGCGTCGAGTGCGGTGCGTTTCGGGCCCCCACTTAGTGCTGCCCCCCCAGACATACCCAACGTCTTATCGTGATGGCGACTCCCAGTCGGCTTCGCAGCGGACGTTCTCCACACGGCCGCTGCCCCACAGCGGCCGCGGCCAGTGTTGGTCCGATTCGCTGCTGTGCATCGTTGATTTCTCTGGCCCCGCACCCAGTTCGCGCGAGCCAGAATCATTGGTCCTAAACATACCGTTACCCGGGGTCGGCCTGGGTGAAAAGGGCCATCCGCAGGATTGGGCGCTAGCCACTGCGCCCGACCAGCCTGCCGCATGCGCGCTGTTTCAGAATCCGCTTTCTGGGCCCCTTCTGCAGGAGGGACCCTCAGGCAGTTCCTGCCAGGTACCCTTTCGTCCACCTCCCCACACTCGTCTTCCTCCCCATGCTCGTCCATGTCTGTTGGCGATGGGCAGTTTCTAGCTAACTGGGGCCCTCCCCAGGCCCCGGGGGTCGAAGGAGGAAGGCGAGGCAAGAAAACGAATGAAGATACTCATGATGGGAGGCGAGATGAATATTCAAAAATAGTAAAAATATAGTCGGGGACGATTTTTTGATTGTCTTTGACCATTTGGGGGGTATGGTTTCACATTTGTTTTATTTGTCGCCCAAAATCCCCCTGTAGGGGGACACGCCCGACTTAATACTACTGATGGGAGGCGAGATTGGGGCAGGCGGGCGGGAGGGAGGAAGCCGGGGACGAGGAGGAGGGACGGCGAGGACACGGACCAGGCCGTGGACGAGTTCTGAGGAGGCGGGGGGCGACAGGAGGAGGAGGAGGATCGAGGAAGGACGGAGGGAGGGTGGAGCGGGGAGGGCTTGGGGGGCACGCCACGGGGGGGGCGACACACGGAAGGCAGCGGGGGCCACAGAACAGGTGCCTTTTGGGGCCCACCAGAGGGCCCTAAGGGGCCCCAGAGAGGCCTTTGGGGCCCGAGCAGGGTATCCTTCTTCCCCCCCCCATCCATTTACCGCCCCCCCCATTAGTTCGCGCCCAGGAGGAGGGAGGTGAGGAGCTGAGGGTCGGAGGAAAACGACGACATAAACATAAACTTTCGACGGTCTCCGTGAATTTCTTGGATCTGCGAGGGAGCGCCCTGGCGGCGCCTCTGGCGCCGCCTCTGGTGCGCTCCGCGCGCCAGGGAGAGGGGTCCGGCGCAGATCCAAGAAATCCGCGCGGACCGTCGAAACTGTACGTTTATGTCGTTGTTTCTCCTCCGACCCTCAGCTCCCCACCTCCCTCTTGGGCGCGAACTAATGGGGGGCGGTACATGGAGGGGGGAAGGAGAAAAGGTACCCTCAGCAGCAACGAATGGAGGGGGGGGGGGCGGTAAATAGGGGGAGGGGGGAAGTGGAGGGGAGGGGGGGGGGAAGAGCGAGAAAACGGGTACCCTCAGCAGCTGCTGCTCCCCGCCCCCCCCCCCCGCAGCGGGCGGGGCCCCGGGGGCCGCCGCCATGGCGACGGCGGACGGGCGCTGCCGCTCCAGAGGGGGAGCCGCCGCGCCGTGGCGCCCGCGGGTCGCCAGCGAGAGGAGGAGGGGGGGGGGGGGGCAGGGAGGGAGACAGGGAGGAGGAGGCAGGGAGACAGGGAGACGGAGGAGGAGGAGGAGGAGGAGGCAGGGAGGCAGGGAGGCAGGGAGGCAGGGAGGCAGGGAGGAGGAGGAGGAGGAGGAGGAGGAGGAGGAGCAGGAGGAGGAGCAGGAGGAGGAGGAGGAGGAGGAGGAGGAGAGGAGGAGGCAGGGAGGAGGAGGAGGCAGGGAGGAGGAGGGACAGGAGGCAGGGAGGAGGAGGGACAGGAGGCAAAGAGGAGGAGGAGGCGGAGGAAGATGGAGGAGGAGGAGGAGGAGGAAGGGAGGAGGACTCTCCCCATCTTCCTCCCTCTTTCTCGTGCACTTACTTACATTATCCCTACGTGCAGCTGGTCACTTCAGTGACCCTGGCTGTTCGGTTTGATCCCCCCTAGGCCGACCGGAGAGGGCGGACAACCTTTTGGAAAGATTCAGAGAGGGGAGAAGAGTAGCAATCACTACGTATAGTTGTAGAGATGGAAGAGGAGGTGGATGGGGTGGAGCGGGAGGGGAGGAGATAGACAGGAGGGGTAGTGGAGGAGTCCGGGAGGAGGGAGATGGCAGGCGCAGCGAGGAGGAGAAGCGAGGAAGAGGAACAAGTGGGGAGGTGTGGGAGGTGGATGAAGTTGAGGCTGAGAAGGGGGTCGGCGTTGGTGGACGAGGAGGAGGACGATGGGGAATGGGGAAAGGAAGGAGGTTTCCACGGAGAAAGGACTTAAATGAAATGTTCTTAGCACTCATTCTTTCTCATTGAGCTCCTCCTTCTCTTCGCGATCATGCTCACCTCGGCATCCTCCCTACCCTGATAATCCAGAGTGCTAGAGACATAACCATCCAGACGCAGTGATGGACTCCTTATCTGAAGGACTTCGCACCTTGTCACCGGCACCCCTCCCGATTGATTGCTTAGCCACATTCGATTGGTAAAATGGTTGGTTTTGTTATCGGTTGGTTGGCTGGCAACTCGGCTCATTGGTTTCGTGGCAACATTGACAAGTGGCATTTCATCTCGGTCTGTTGCTGGCTGGCTGACTGCGGGCGTCTGCCACGACCCACAGTTGAGAGAGACGGCGGCCTCTGGGAGGGCGCCTCCACTGTGCTTTGCGAGGGCTCGAGGCCCCGGGAGCGCGCGCCCCCGGCTACTTGCGCGGTTCTCGTGGCCTCCGGCCCCGAGCCGGAGGCGTCTCCGCATCCTCGGGAACCGGCAGGAGCGCTGAGCATTGCCCCCCCCCCCCCCCCCCCCCGGGAGCCTTGAGACGGGGGTCGATGCAGGCGGGGGTCAGCCAGCGCTCCCGATCTTGCAGGATCCTGCAGGGCCAGGGTCGCATTGACCCGGATTTGGGCGCAGGATCTTGCTTGATCCTTCGCGCTGACCCGGGTTTGGGTGCAGGAATTCCAGGATTCTGCAAGGCCTGACTGACCCAGGTCTGGATTGACCTGGGTCAGAAGATCCCCGACCCCCGAACACATATAGAGGGGACCCATGCCAAGAAGCTCCCTGCTTGCCTCCAGGGTGCCCTGGGCTTCCTGGGTCCCGGTGTTTCTCGCATGGAAGGCGTGACGTTCCCACACCAAGAATCCATGGACGTCCTGGGGTCTCAGGGCTAGGGTGTCTTGTGGAAGGTTTCTCCTGGACTGGCCTCCACCCTATCCAGGCACAGCCAATGACGATGCTCTACTCCGGGGAGGGGCGAATCGTTGGGGGGGCCTCCGCGGGGCGGGTTCGTTGCCTCGGGAGCGCCACTGCGCAGCAATCTGCAGGGGGAGTGGCTTCGAAGACGCGAGTGGGCCGCAATCTACGACGAGGGGTGGCTTCGGGAGCGCGGGCAGAGCGTAAGCTTCAAGGGACTGGCTTGGAGAGCGTGGGAGTGTGTCATTCACAGGGGATGTGTGGTGTCGGGAGCGCCAAGGCGCAGCAATGCACGATGGACTGCTGTGGCTTCGCGAGTGCGAGCTGACAGCACGTTCAGAGGATTGCGGCTCGGGTAGCGCGAGGCTGCTGTGTGCTACGTGCCCCAGGGCACCCCCAGACTACATGATTACGTGATCCTGGGAGGGGAACCATCGCGCGATTACGCTCGCATCTGAGCGCGCCAGGTTGTGGTCCACCCTTTGCAATCGACGGCAACGCATACGCGTCGCACCCTATAGTTTGCATTGGTTACCCGAGGGGGAGCCGGTCGACCAGACGGCGCGTTTTCTGGCCCAGGACCAGTCCCGAATCCCAGCCCAAATCCCAAAACGTCTGGTTTGAATATTTTTGGATACCTGTTGATCTCTTTGAATATCTTTGAATATTTTTGAATATTGTTTCGGACCAATGGGGATCTTTACTATTACTAGTGATCCAAAGATATTCAAACATATTACAGGCTCTCGGATGGGGCCGGTTTTGACCATGGCGCCAGGCCTGGTCAGACGCCATCGCGATGCAGCCCGGCAGTACCAGACCTCATCGCAGTGGCCCCCGGCAGCGTTTGCTTTCACAGCGCCTTCGAAGCGCCATTTCGGGGCGCTCGAAGTCAATCGGCAGAATTCCGCGGTTTCCCGCTGGCACAACAAATCTTTCGAGTGGCGCCCCGCCGATCGTTGATGCGGCGCGGCAACGCCAGCTTGCACGATTGCGTTGGGCCCCCACGGGCGCCCCTTAAGCCGCGCCCCGAAGGTCACTCTAGCCTAGGGTCGCTCCTACGTGTAGACGAACGAGGGGGAGATGGGGGAGGGAGGAGGGAGGAGGAGGGAGGACGAGAGAAGAGGAGAGAGGAGGGAGGGAGGAGGGAGGGAGGATGGAGGAGGGAGGGAGGAGGGAGGGAGGAGGAGGGAGGTGGGAGGAGGAGAGGGAGGGAGGAGGGAGGAGGAAGAGGGAAGACGGAGTGGCGGGATGGAGGAGGCACCCTGGGGGGAGGACGGTGGGAGGAGGCACCCTGGGGGAACGCGGGGCGAGGCGCGCCTGGGGCCCGGACCCGCGCGGGGCCCGACGCCGTTGCGGTGCGGGCAGCGCCCCGCCGCCGCGCCCCCACAGGAGAGCGAGCGGCCGGCGCCCCCGCGCGGGGGCGGCTGCGCGGCACGGCGGCGGCCGCGCCGTGGAGGCTCCTCCCCCCCCCCCCCCCCAGGGTGCCTCCTCCCTCTCCCTCCCCTCCTCCCTCCCTCCCTCTCCTCCCTGCTCCCTTCCTCTTCCCTCCCTCCCACCCTCCCCCCTCCTCCTCTCTCCCTCTCTTCCCTCCTCCCCTCCGCCCTCCCTCTCTTCCTCCTCCCCCCTCTTCTCTCCGCCTCCCTCCTCCCTCCTTCTCCCTCCTTCCCCTCCCTCCCTCTCCTGCCCCTCCTCCCTCGCCCATGGAGCCTCTCCCTCCCCGCCTCCTCCTCCCTCCCTCCCTCTTCTCCTCCCTTCTTCTTTCGACATGAACTTTTGGCGCTCCGCGCGGATTTCTTGGATCCGCGCTGGGCCCCCCGATCCTCCTCCCTCCTCCCTCCCTCTTCTCCTCTCCATCCTCCTCTTCCTTGCAAGGAACTCTTCCCTGTCACACCAAGAAGCGTGTTGCTAGGGCTGGCCGGGCGTTTCGCCGGAGACTTCTTCACCATTCCTGCTTTTGAAGCATCGAATTTGCAACAGTTTCACGGATGGAGGGCGGGCCGCTTATAACATGTGGTTCTCGCTTTAGTGCCCCTCCTCCCTCCTTCGTCTCCTCCCTCCTCATCCTCCCCCTCCCTCCACCTGCTCCTCCTGCTCCTCCCTCTCTCTCGGCACGCGTGCGTTCGTGTCCGTTGTGCGTCGTGCGCGCGGCACGCGTGGCGCGGGTGACACGCGTGCGTGCTTGCCCAAGCCTGCCTTCCACTTCGGGGCAAGGGCATCAAGAATTGTCCGGAGGCCCACACCACCTTTCTTTTTTCTTGACGCGGCGACGAGGCGGTGAGCAGGATCCCTCTCTCGAGGACGGGGCTGTGGGTGCGAGTGGGAGAGAGGGTTGTCGTTCCAGCCGGTCGGTGGTTCGCTCCCCGACGGCTCGGCCCCGTGGTGCACGGGGAGCGCGGGGCCTCAAGCGCACTCCCGCGGATGGAGTGCTGGCCCCCTTGCGCAACAGGTGGTCCCAGCTGGTCTCGCTCCTCCCCTGTCCTGCTGCTCCTGCTCACCCTGCCCCATCCCCCCTCCCAGTCCTGGGGCGGGAGGGTGCATCGCAGCATCGTCGACGCACCCTGGGTTTGCTCCAGCCCTCCTGCTCCCTGCTCATCGTCCTGCTGCTCGTGATGCTGCAGCTCCCTCCTATTCCTTTTGCTCCTCCTGCTGCTCCATCTCACCTGCTCGGCAATCTTATCGGAAGATTGATCGGCAGCGGTCCACAGCAATAGAAGTCTTCCTGCTCCAACCTCGCCACGACGTGAGAGGTGGCGCGGTTGGAGCGACGAAGACAAGACCACGAATCATGTGAGGGGTTGAAATGTGCCCGTGGCCGCATGCGAATTTTGCCTCTGGGGCCTTCGGTGGAGCTCCATATGGACGTGCGAGGTGTGTGCGGAACTGGGGGTTACAGCATGCGAGCGCAGCCTCTGGGGCCTGCGGTGGAGCTTCCAATGGGACCACGAAGCGTGGGATAGGTGTACCTGAATGGACCTGGGACGGCATGCGAACGCAGCCACTGGGGCTTTCGGTGGAGCTCCATGTGGGGGCCACAAAACGTGGGAGAGGTGTATCGAAATGGACCCGTGACGGCATGCGAATGCAACCGTTGGGGTTTTCGATTGAGCCCCTTGTGGGCTAGGAACTACGAGAGGGGTGTGCCAACATGGGCCCGAGACGGCATGGGATCGCAGCCACTGGGGTTTCGGTGGAGCTTCTACGGGGCCACGGCACATGGGAGAGTTGTGCTCAATGGATCCGAAACGGCATGCGAAGGCAACCAGTGGGGCCTGCGGTGGAGTGTGTTATGGGACAGCACGTGTGAGGGGTGTGCAAAGGATGGACCCGCGGCGGCATGCGTGCCCAGCACTTGGGGCCTTTTGTGGAGCTCCCTATGGTGCCACGAGGCGTGTGAGAGGTCAGCCGAGGTGCACCCGAGGCAGCACGCCAGCGCAACTGCAGAGGCGTTCGGTGGATTTGGCAATAGGGGCATCATTCTTGATGGGGCGCCGAATTGAACCGAGATGACGTGCGGACGCAGACACTAGGGCCTTAGGCGGAGCTCCCTGTGGGGCCACGGAACGTGTGAGCGGTGTGGCGACGTTGTGATTCGGACAATGATGGTGGTAGCGGCGATTAGGGTGTTGATAATAATGAGGAGGAGGAGGAGGAGGAGGGGGAGGAGGAGGAGGAGGAGGATGAGGATGAGGATGAGGAGGATAATGTTGAGGATGAGGGGAAGGGGGTAGTGGGCAAGCTAGGTGCGCTCGCGTCAGTCTGACGTCCAACCCCTCCCTCCCATCCATTACCATGGCGTAGATCTCCTCTCTATTCGCGCATTCAGATGCCGTAGCATGGCATAGCATTACATGGCATAGCATGGTGTCGAAGATCAACGCGCAGCATGACATAGCATGGCGTGGCGACCTCATCAAGGTGGGGGGGGCTTCTGCGGCCCAAAGAGTCAACGAATCGACACCGAATGTGTAATCACTTCCGATGGTCTTTTGCGGGAGGGCATTCTTTCAGATTTTGGGGCATGCCGTGGCATGGCGCTGGAAATAATGACGCCAGCGCTGCAGCGGGAGCACGATTCGGGAAGAGCAGAAGCGCTGAAATGAGGCCATCGCTGCAGCGGGAGCACGATGCGGAACGAGCCTTAGCCCGAAAATGAGGGCAGCCCTTCAGCGAGAGCCCCATTTTGAAAACAACAGCCCAGCGCGGAAGCGCGGAAATGAGGACGCGCAGAATGACATAGCATGGCGTGGCGACGTCCTGAAATCGGGGGGCTCCCGCGGCCCAGAATATCAACGAATCGACAACGCTCTGCGCGGCGCCCGATACATTCTCCAGAACCGATGGATTTCAGAAATCCCCCATCCCTGAGGTCCGACGAGGCGAAAAAAAGGCAACATCGCGAACAATCACGACTGGAGCTCCAAACCCCATCTGTCCGCGGCATTTTTCGAGCCGGATCGATCTGTGATGGCCCCGGGGCCCCGATCAGCGCAAAATCCCTGGCTGTAAGAATGTCGACGCCAAGGTCTCAGGGATTTGTCCCGGTCCGATCTTGCCCGGGTCCTGGCCTCGTCTCAGCGGGACCACAATCGGCGTCACCCCAACGTGCTTCTACTATGTGTGCGTCGCCCCACCTGGGGCGACGCGCGCACCGAGAAATCTCATAGTGTAAGCGTCGCGGCGGGCGCTTCGTGGCCACACCGCTCGGGAAACGATATTTTATTACAAGATGGGTATACTGTCTGTTCGGGTCGGACACGCGCCTCCAAGGAGATAATATAGTACTGGTATGCAGGGCTGGACCTAAACGCTGTTTTGCTGGATTTCGGCTGTGTGTTGTTTTTTGTTTTAGCAGGGAGGTACAGGAAAACAGGCAGGGCGAAACGAACAACAAAACGCACACAACATGAACAACAACGTTTGGGTCTAGCCCTGCTAGTACGTTTTGTTTCTGTGCGTCCCACGCAACTCCTGTGAGGTTGAGTTGAGCATCGGCGCTGGTACATCCGTGGTCGACAGCTGGCCTCGTCCGGCATAACCCAGTCCCGTCCGGCCTGATCCCGGCTCATCGGCTTCACTCTGCGCAATCCAAGGCTTACACATCAGTCGTTGAAAGTACTTATTTCCGGAGTCCCAGATTCCAACCTGTGTAAGCGCCTTCCTACTTCGATGATCGAGTGGCTTCACCTTTTGCGTCCTCAGGGGGCGGACGGAACCTAATATACTTTCAATGCCTTCCTACTTCATGTTTCTACCTATTTATTACGACCGATGTGTAATGGGGGTTAGCCTGGCTTGAATCACCGAGGGCGTTCCACTGCTCGCATAGTGCCTACTCGCAAACGTCCGAAAAGCACACGTCTGCATCGACGTAATGTATCGTAAATCTCCCTCAGCGGATCCAGGCAATGTGCGAGAAGTTACTTTGCGAGTACTGGAACGCGCTTGTCTATTCATGCCCCATACTCGGAGCGACTCACGAAAACGTGTTCCACTGTTCTGACATTCGCGCTAAGCTGCCCGCGTAAGATCGCGCGTAAGCGCCCTCGTTTCCAATGCACAGAGCCGCGCTGGCGGCCTGCGTCGACCATCGAGTGAGGTCGCTACGTCTTCTCGCGGGAGACCCGTGTGTTTCGTCCCCTCCCTTTTCTCTCTCGGCGGTGACTAGGACTGGTCCTAAAACCTCTTCCTCTTCACTCCTCCCCCTTCCTCCTCCTCCTCTTCCTCCCCTTCCTCCTCCTCCTTAGGAGTGACACGAGGAGGATCGGGCGCCGCGGCGGGTGCCGCGGAAACGAGTAAGAGATTCCCCCTTGTTGAAGGGATCCCAGTCCAGTCTATCAAGAAGGCCGCCGATAGTTCGTTACCCTCTATCGGGGGGGTCGAAAGACCTTTCAGGGTTAATATCCTTTTACCGATATCACCCCATGATATGAACACCATGTGTGCGTCGCCCTCCCAGAGGCGACTCGCGCGCTCAGAAATCTCATAGTATACGCTTCGTGTCGGGCGCTATCTGGCCATTCCTCTGGGGAAACGACGTACTACAAGATGACTGTGTTATATGTTCGGGCCAGGCACACGCCTCCCAAGGCGGACACACGGTACTAGTATGTCCTTGTGCGTCCCATTTAGCGGCGTCGAGCCAGGGGGGGAAGTGAGAAGGAGAAGGCCTCCTCAGAAAGCGGCGGGGCCTCCCAGAAGGCCTCCGGCCTCCTGAGAAGGCCCTTGCGTCCTCGACGAAGGCGCCGAGGACGCTCCTCAGGAGTCTAGGGGGCCTTCCGAGCCTTGAAGGAGGCGCGCCCCCTCTCACTTCCCCCCCTCCGCTCGCCGCCGAGCCGAGTCCGTTCTCGCGCAGAGCTCCCAGCAGCTGCCGCCGAGCTGCCGCCGCCGCCGCGCGCAGGCCAGGCGGGCGCCCTCCGCGGCGCTCTGCTGCCTCGGCGTCCTCGGCGCCCTCGGCGCCTGCGCCAGCGGGTCGGCGTTCCTGGGCGGCGGCGCGCCGCGGCCGGCGGCCGCGGCAGAGAGGCGCGCTGTCGGCGGGGGGGGGGCTTGGCATCGCTGGGGCGTGCCGATTTTTGTTTCGGCGGGGACCATCGGTCAAGCAGTGGCGAAGCGTCCTGGCTCGCCTGTTGGTCGCACCAAAGAATGTTCTAATAACCTCTTATGGTTTCTACGAGGTGTTCTTAGAACATTTCTAGCCGGGGCTGTCTCGTTGTAACACATAAGGTTGAAGTTCTAAGAGCATTGTTTTTGTTCTTAGAACATTTTGGGGTTCTAAGAACATTTCGTGGTAGGACTATAGAAATGCCGGGACGGTCGGTCCCTGCTCAGATCGAGGATTTCCCAGGATTTGTTTTGATGACTAAGCGCCCGAAGTCGAAGCATGCACGGGAAAGGGACGTCCGAGCGATGGCAAGAGGGTTGGTCGGTGGCTCTTCGTGGGAGCCTCGTGTGTCCTTGCAGTTCCATCTCTCGAGTGCGTCAGTTCTATGGCCTCCTGGATGGGGGTCGGAGTAGACGGGGCCGGAGGATCGCGCCGCATCGCCGATCATGCACTGGCGACGTCGACGGTGCATCGGCGACGCCACCGTGGAGAACATCGGGCTCCGCATCGAGCCGCATCGTGCCCCATCTGCTCGGACCCCATCTGGGAGGCCTCCAGTCTTCAGAGTGCGTCGGCGTGCGCCAGCTTGTGGTGATCGATGCGAAGGCGCCGGCTCAGCGTCGAAGCAGCGTCGATGAGCGTCGGCTGGCGAGAGCCAGCTAGACGGCATGGGAGGCCGTTCAACCCATGAGTTGCCACAGAAGGGGGCGAGGGCGTTCGGTCTTGACGGGGTGGGGGCGGGGTCGGGCGCCGCGGCGGGCTCCCAGAGGTTTTCCCGCCTCGGGGCGCCTGCTGGCGGCTGCGCCTCGTCGAGAGCCTTCCGGAGGGTGCCCAGATCATCCCAGGCGGGCAATGGAGCGGGCGTTCGTAGTGTTTTTGTTCGGTTTTTGGGGTGGGGAGGCCCTCGCGAGGGGCCTAGGACAGTCAAAGAGCGATCCAGCCCTCCTCCTCGTCCTCCTCCACCTCCCCCCTCTCCACTCCCCACCTCCCCACTCCCCACTCAAGACATCGGATATCTAGGGATGGTTGGGCGGGGCTAGGACGAGGATAAATCCGTTCCAGAGCGTTCTGGAACGCTGTCGGGGCGTTCCACAGCGCTCTGAGAAGGCCGCGGCGCCCGAGATCCTCCAGAGCCGCCGGATCTCACATATTCTCGATTTACATGAACCCGATGTTATCTTCGTCCTGGCTTTGTCTTAGAGGAGCTCTCCGAGTTATTCTAAAAGCGTGGGGGGGGGTCGCGTGGGGGGGGTAAGGCTGCACTGTCCCTCACGGGCCAGACGAAAGGGGGGGATTGGGAAAGGGGGGGTTACGAAATTTGCTGCATGCAGCTGGTTTCGACCCCACGGAGGGGCCCATTCTTCGATATATAGCCGCCTCCGTGAGCTGATTCTGCACGGAGCTGATTCTCAACCCCCCCATTTGCTATCCCCCCCTTTCGCTCGACCCGACCCTCGAAGGGCGTCAGGGGGGCTTGATGGTTCTTGGCGTCGCTCGGACGTGTACTTTTGTTTCTCGGCAAGGACCATCGAGGGGATTTTTGGCCCATCTCGCAAAATATTTAACACTCGAGATGGCGAGTGCTTATATCGCGTTCGGGGGTGAGGTCGGTTTGATCGTGGAGGGGCTGGGAGAGGGTCAGGAGCGAAAGAAGGACGTACACGTACATGAATCCATGTCGGTTTCGAGATTGCGCATTGGGCAAACGTTCGTATCACGCGGCCGGTCTCGCGGATTGGGGAGCCGTGTTCATGTACATGATTGGGCTCGTACGTCTTCTTTGGGCTCCCTTGAGGGCAGTCGGCATGCATTTTGACGAAGACTCCGACATTGACGACAACGACGACTCCGACATTGACGACGACGACGACGGCCGCCGCCCATGGAGGGTTCTCCAGATACCTCTCGCTTCACGGGGTGCACGTCCGGAGCACGTACAGTCCAGTCGTTGCTGGGCCTCTTGGGAGCTGCTTTGTGGCATCTTGGAGATGTCTTGGGGGCTTCTCGGGTCCTCTTCTGCACTGGGCTTCTTTGGGGCCTCTTGGGGGCGTCTTGGGCCGTCTTGGGGCGCTCTTGCGGCGTGTGGTCCATTCGGAAGCTGGTCTGGGTGCCTCTCGCGGCCGTTTTGGGTCTTTCTTGGGGTCCTCTTGAGTTGGGCCGTCTTAGGGCCCGCTTGTGCCGTCATGGAGGCCTTTTGAGGGCTTCTTGGGCCGTCTTGGGGCCATTTTGGAGGCTGATTGGGCTGTCATGGGCTTCTGGAAGTCGGAAAAGGCGAGAACGTTTCTGTGCCTGGGTAGTGGGTCAGAGTGTCGGCCCGTCCCACCACCGTGCCTGGGTAGTGGGTCAGAGTCCTCAGGGATGCTCCTTAGGGTCTCTTCGGAGGGCTCTCGGGGGCCTATGGGTGGCAGTTTGAGGCCTCTTGGAAGCCTCTTGGGGGGCTGCTTGGAGGCCTCCTGAGACTTCTTGGGGGCCTCTTCGGGGCCTCTTGGGGCGCCTCTTGGGAGTCTCTTTGGGCTTCCTGGGGGCGTCTGCCGCTGTGGAAAAGTGTTCAAATGTGGTTGGCGTGACCTGCTCGGCTGCCGCGCGTGCGTGCCGCTCCGTCCTGCCATCCCCAGGGCTTCTGGGCGGCCTCATGGGGGACTCTTGGGAGTCTCTTGAAAGTCTCCTGAGGGCTTCTTGGAACGTCTTCGGGGCCGCTTTGGGGCTTCTTGGGGCTTCTTGTTGACGTCTTGCGCCAGCTTGGGGCGCTCTTGCGCCGTCTGGCCCCTTCGGAGGCCATCTTGGAGGCCTCTCGCGGCCGCCTTCGGGCTCTCCTGGAGTCCTCTTGGGCTGTCTTGGGGGCCCCTTAGAACGTCTTGGTGGCCTCTTTTGGCCGTCTCGGGGCCCTCTTGAGCAATCCTGGGGCCCCTTTGGGGGCCTCTTTGGCCGTCTCGGGGTCTTCTTGCAGGCTGCTTGGACCGTCATGGCCCTCTGAGAACCGAGAAAGGCGAGAACGCTAAAATCTTTCAAAAACCAACGGGAAATCAAAGATTTTGGTTCCTGGAGGCGCTCTTTCGAGTCCTCTTGGGGCCCCCTTGAGCCGTCTTGGGGGCGTCACAAGCCCTCTTGGAACCATCCAGGGCCGTGTTAGGGGCCGTCTTGGGGCCATCTTGAGGCCCTAATGGAGTCCCCAGAGGCCCCAGAGGCCCAAGTCGTTGATTTCCTATGGTTTTTTAAATTGGTTTCGAGAGCCCGAGAAGGGGGGCATTCATCTTGGGTCGGCGGAGTGGCGCGACTCCAAGGGGGGGTTAGGGGAGAGACATAATGATGTAACCAGTACATTCTGTGGCAATTATACAACGATTGGAAATCTTGGATACGTTGCATTATCGCCTCCGCAGAAAACGCTGCCGCTCAGCACGTCACTTACGGACGTGGTTTTTGGGCCTACGCCACACCTCCGATCCCTTGGGGAACTGGCGGTTGTTGCGTGTTGCTCTTGAGGTTCTCTTGTCCGCCTTTTGGGGGCTTCTTGGAGCTCTTTTTGGAGCTCCATGGGGGTCTTTTAGGGGCCTTTTCGGGGCCTCTTAGGCTGATATTCTCAGTATTCTCAGTACACGCATGGGGAAGCGAGCGAGAACCCACGTATATAGACGGCGGGCATCTGTCAAAACACCAGGAGCCTGAGGCCAATCGGATGGCTGATGGGGTCTCGTGGAGGCGCGTCAGGGGCGTCTTGGAGGCAGTGTTTGAACTCTTAGACGCTTCCTGGAGCCCTCTGGGGGCTTCTTGCTGCCATCTTGAACCTCCCTGGGGGTCTGTTGGGGGCTTCTTGGGGCAATCCAGAGGCGCCTTGCGGTGGAAGACTCGAACTGCCTGTCCGTTCGTGCTCCCTCTCTGGGCCCCCTCTTGGGGCTGTCCCGGGTCCCTCCCAGGCCGTCTTGAGGGCCTCTTGGGCCGTCTTGGGGCCTTTTTGGATCGTCTTGGAGCCCTCTTTGGGGCCTCTTGGCCCGTCTCGGGGCGATCGGATGCCTCTCCGGCCGTCTGGGACGTTGTGAACACCCAAGCGGCGAATGTGTTAAGAAGGCACGGCTCCCCGAGGGAATGGGGCAATGTTTTGCTTCTGCAGGCTCTCTTGGGACGCCTCTTGGGGGCGTCTTGGGAGCGCCTTGGGCCGTCTGGAAGCCAGCGTGGGCGTTTTGGATGGTTCAACGACTCGTGGCCCTCGTGGACCGCCCCAAGGGCCTCTTCGGGCCCTCTTGGCTCGTTTTGGGGCCCTGTGCCCCCCATGACGCGTTCGGGCGGCCTCCTGAGGGGACCCCCTCCCTTCCAAATCGACCCGACCGGTCTCCCAGGGATGGGGAAGGGGAAACATCTCGCATGCCGATGAACCCCAACGGGTCAGCGGATTTCTCCAGAGGTCCGGCGTACCTTTGGAGGCCCGTGGGCGAAGAGGGCTCAGATCATTCGAACGGTTGATCGGATTTTCGGCCTTCGAACTTCGATTCTCGAACCTTGACGACGACGACTTCTACGCAGACGACGACGATGACGACGCCGACGACGACGACTGCGGCGGCGGCGACGGCGTCGACGGCGACGGCGGCGGCGGCGACGACGACGAAGGCGACGGCGACGGCGACGACGACGGCGACGACGACGACGACGGCGATGGCGACGGCGTCTGATGGCGCCACGCAGTCGGTCGCTCCGACGCGCGCGGGGCCCCTCGCCCTGCGCTTCGCGCGGGGCGCCCGAGGCCCGGCAGCCCAGGGGTGTCTGCGGACAGGTCTTCGTCGCGCGCGCCCGTGGTACCGCCGCCAGGCAGCCCCCGCCCCTGGACGCCGTGGCCCGGTCGTCCGACCCCTATCGATGTGGGCGACGATCACTGGACAGGAGGCACATTCCTAAGTAGTTTCCAGATGCTCATGGTTCAAGCATGTCCTAAACATGTAGAGACCATAGTTCAAACATGTCCAGAACATCTTCCCAACATTTTAAGCACATGTTGTATTCAATGATAGGACTGTTAGGGTGTCCATTGTCATGGCATCCACAACCATATCTGCTCTGGCCCCGTCTGAGAGGTCCCTCGTGAGGGGGGGGCGAAGAGTAGGGGGGGAGCAAGAGTCAAACAATGGCGAAGCGTCCTGGCTCGCCTATAGGCCTAGTGTTACGAGATTCGAAGAACCTTTTGTGGTCTGCACGAAATGTTCTTAGAGCATTTCTGGCCGAGACTGTGTTGTTTGAACATGTCGGGTTTATGATCTCAGAACATTATTTTTGTTTTTAGAACATATCTGGGTTCTAAGAACATTGCGTGGTAGGCTCATAGGACTGCCGGGACGGTCGGTCCCTATTCACAAGATGCCTCGATAATGATACCGTCCAAGAGGTCCGTGGTTTCCGAACTTTCCCACGGGTCAGGCTGCTCCGCACTGCGAGGGAAAAAGCGGCGTAAACATTCACTTTCGGCGCTTCGCGCGGATTTCTTGGATCCGCGCTGGGCCCCCCTGGCGGCGCCTCCGGCGCGGCCCATGGCGCGCTCCGCGCGCTTGGGAGGGGGCTCCATCGCAGATCCAAGAAACCCGCGCGGAACGTCAAGGGTTTACGTTTATGCAGTGTGTTTTCCCTCTAGTGGTAGGAAGCCCAAGGCTGGGGGACTTCCGCGCCTTGTGAGAAAGCCCGCCCCTTCTCACTTCCCCACGCGCTCGCCGCCAACTCCACAAGTCGTCCATTCCCACTCATGCCCAGACGACGGCCTGGAAGGGGGCCTTTCGGACCCAGAAGGGGGTCTTCAGGGCCCGAAGAGTGCACCCTTCTCTCCCCCCCCAATCATCGCCCCCCCATCACTTCGCGCCCAGAAGGTACAAGCTCGAGGTCGGTTCGGGGAGGGTACCCCGATCGTCTTCGAGTTTGCTGGATGTTCTTGTGCATCCTGGGGGGGGCACCCTAGGAGGATTCTGTATGTTTTGGCCGGCGGAGGGAGGGTCTCACTCATGTTCTTGAGGGGTGTTTTTTTCGCGTCGGGCATGAATCTCTACAGGAGGGATATTCAAACATAGTCAAACATAGTCGGGGTACGAGTTGTAGACTATTTTGACATATCCGTAAGGGCTTCGCCCCATGCCGCCGGCCCACTGTCTCGGATAATGGGAGATGCAACAGCTAAGTCATGAGGTCTGGGCGCCGCCGGGAAGCAGTGTCGGGACCTGTTTGTTTTTCGACACTGACCCTACGGATCTGCGTGATGGGTGCCACCGAATGTCAGAAATGTGGCAAATCCCGTATGTGTTTGGTCCCTGACCCTACGGATCTGCGTGAGGGGTGCCGCCGAATTTCAAACATTTAGCAAACCCTTTTTGTGTTTTTGGGCACTGACCCTGTCGATCCCGAAATTCAGAAATCTTGAGAGTCGTTTGGGTTTTCGGCCCTGACCCCGCCGATCTGCGTGAGGGGTGCCATCGCATTCCAGACATGTGGCAAATCCTATGTGTTTTTGGACCCTGACCCCGCCGATCTGCGCGAGGGGTGCCACAGAATTTCAGAAATGTGGCAAATCCCATGTGTTTTTTGAACCCTGACCCCGCCGATCTGCGTGAAGGGTGCCAGCGAATGTCAGACATGTGGCAAATCCCCTGTGTTTTCGGACCCTGACCACGCCGATCTGCGGTAGGGGTGCCACCGAATGTCAGACATGTGGCAAATCCCCTGTGTTCGCGGACCCTGACCACGCCGATCTGCGTGAAGGGTGCCATCGCATTCCAGAACTGTGGCAAATCCTGCGTGTTTTTGGATGCTGACCCCGCCGATCAGCGAGAGGGGCGCCACCGAATTTCAGAAGTGTGGCAAATCCCATGTGTTTTTTGTACCGACCGCTCAGCGCTCCGCGCGCCCCAGGGCCCTGCCAAGAAACGCCCTGCTCGCCTCCAGGGTGCCCAGGGTCTCTTGGGTCTCGATGGCTCCGCGATGGAGAGCCAAGAACCGCTCCCACACCAGAAATCTGTGGACGTCCTGGGGCCTCACCTGGCATCGCTCGGACGTGTGCAGTTGTTTTTCCTCGGCGAGGGCCCTGCAGGAGCATCCTGGATCATCGAGCAGACAAAAAAACGCGCACGAGACCGAGCAGTGCACGGGGAATGGACCTCCGAGCGACGGCAAAGCTCAAGGATTTGGGTCCCTCCTGGGAGGCCTCCCGTGGCCGGGGCCGCTCCGCGCTCCGCCCGCGCGCGCGCCCCGCCCAGGGCCCTGCAGCCCGCCGCGGGCGCGGCGCGGGCCCGGCGGGGCGTCCTGGCGGCGGGCCTGGCCGCGGCCCTGGGAGGCCGCGGGCCGGGGGGGGCCCCCCGCGCCGCGCCGCGCCGCGCTCCTCGCGCGCCCCGGGCCACCTCGCGGCGGAGACGACGACGACGAAGACGACGACGACGACGCTGACATGATCACGACGGGCGTCCGGTGGCTGGCGTCGCTCGGACGCGTGCGCAGTGTTTGTTCCTCGGCGGGGGCCATCGAGGAGCCTTTTGGGGGTCATCTTCGTCCTCCTCCTCTTCGTCCTCGTCCTCCTCTTCGTCCTCCTGCTCCTCGTCCGCGTCCTCACCCTCGGAGGAGGACGAGGGCGAGGACGAGGAGGAGGTCTTGGCATCGCTCGGACGTGTGCTTGTTCTTGTTCGGCGAGGGCCCTCGAGGAGACTTCTGGGTCATCTTGCGCAAACAAATGCGCGCACGAAGCCGACACATGCAGGAGGAATGGACGTCCGAGCGATGGCGAGGTGGGGGGGACGAGTTTGATGTCTGTTCATGGGTCGACGGCGAAATCAGCACCCTGCCCTCGCCGATCAAGGATTCAGGCAGCATCGTACCAAAAAACACCTTCCTGGGACTATATCGCCCCAGACCAACGTGAACGTTGAGTCCTGGCAGTCCTAAGTCGTGCCAGCTCACCACTTGTTCCCCCCCCGCTGACTCGACAAGACGCGGCTACTCTCTTTTTGCTCGTGGGCACTCCGTGGCCTTGCCCGGGTACCCACTCTGCGTGCCTGTGTGTCTTGCCCGAGCAAAGTTACTACCCGCGAGTGTGCCGTGCGCTCGAGGGTGACTTTGGTGCCCAGGCCGCTCCTCAGCTCTTGTCAGGCGATCGCTCCTCCGTCCTCTTCCTCCTCCTCCTCCTCCTCCTCCTCCTTGGGCATGCTCGACCTCCTCCTCCTCCTCCTCCTCCTCCTCCTCCTCGTCTCTCCTCCCCTCCTCCTCCTCCTCCTCCTCCTCCTCCTCCTCCTCCTCCTCCTCCTCCTCCTCCTCCTCCTCCTCGTCTCTCCTCCCTCCTCCTCCTCCTCCTGACTCGCACTTGCGAGAGGCGGAAAGCTCCTCCTCCTCCTCCTCCTCCTCCTCCGCCTCCTCCTCCTCCTCCGCCCTCCTGCCCCGAGTAGGCGACGGGTCCCGTTTCCATGGGAAATCTTGGATTTCCGCAACCGGGCGAGGCGATACCGACCGCATTTTGGGGAGCGCCCCTCCCCCGATCCACGAGTATGGCGAGACCGCGCGCCGAATCCATGGATATCTGATCCGTGTCAGCGCGCCCCCGATCTGGATCGGGGAGAGCCCCTCCGCGGCCGAGGCAAAATCGGGGCCCTAGAGGCGGCGCCCCCAGCCGCTCTCTCCTCTGTCTCCGCGCGCCCCTCGGCGCGCGCGTCCCGGCATCGCTCGGACGTGTGCCTTTTTGCTCCCTGGCGATGGGGGCATCGAGGAGCATCCACAGGGTCACCGAGGGCGTTCCACTACTCGCAAAGTGCCTACTCGCAGACGTCCGAAAAGCGCATGTCCGCTGTGATGTAATTCATCGTAGATCCTCCGCGGGGGACCCAGGCCATTTGCGAGTGGTTCATTTGCGAGTAGTGGAACGTGCTCGTCCATAGGCGGACGAACAATGACATAAGCATAAAAAACTCGGAGGTCAGCGCGAAATTCTTGGATCGGCGCTGGATTATTCTCCCTGGCGCGCGGTGTGCGACAGGGGCGGCGACGGAGGCGCCGCCAGTGGGGTCTAGCGCCGATCCGCGAAATCCGCGCGGACCTCCAAGTTTTATGTTTATGTCACGGTTCGCCCCTTAATCCAGGATCGTCGAGCCAAGAAAAACGCGCACGACACCGAAGTTCGGCGGCGAGCGAGGAGGGGAAGTGAGAAGGAGAAGGTTTTCTCAGAAGGCCTCGGGACGTATCGAAAGTCCTCGCGCCATGTCTCCGGGGGGATCCGAATCTTCTGAACAAGCCTTCTCCTTCTCAAGTCTTCCCCTCGCTCGCCGCCGGATCGAGGAGCATCCTGGATCATCGAGCCACAAAACGTTCACGACACTGAAACAGTTTCGGGGAACGGACGTCTGAGCGATGGGCAAGCTCGGCGGCGAGCGAGGAGGGGAAGTGAGAAGGAGAAGGCTTTCTCAGAAGGCGGCGGGACTTCTCAGAAGCCCTCGCGCCCTCTGAGAAGTTTTGTTCTGTCTTCGGGGAAGGCGTAGAACATCTCTCAGAAGGCCAGGGGACTTCCGAACCTTCTGAGAAGGCCTTCTCCTTCTCATTTCCCCCCCTCGCTCGCCGCCGGATCGAGGATCATCGAGCCACAAAACGCGCACGACACTGAAACAGTTTCGGGGAACGGACGTCTGAGCGATGGGCAAGCTCGGCGGCGAGCGAGGAGGGGAAGTGAGAAGGAGAAGGCTTTCTCAGAAGGCGGCGGGACTTCTCAGAAGCCCTCGCGCCCTCTGAGAACTTTAGTTCTGTCTTCGGGGAAGGCGTAGAACATCTCTCAGAAGGCTGGGGGACTGCCGAACCTTCTGAGAAGGCCTTCTCCTTCTCATTTCTCCCCTCCTCGCTCGCCGCCGGATCGAGGAGCATCGTGAATCATCGAGCCAAAAAACGCGCGCGCGACACCGACACATGCACGGGGAAGCACGGACGTCTGAGCGATGCCAAGTGGTCTGCAGCACGATGACTGTACGCACCCTCTTCTGGGCGCCCCCTCGCCGTTCTGCCCCCAGGCGCGGCCGAGGAGGCGTGGGCGCGAGATGCGAGGCCGGCCGGGGCGGGCGCTCGCGGGCTGGATGAGGCGGACCAGGAGGAGGACGGGGGAGGAAGATGAGGAGGGCGAGGAGGAGGAGGAGGAGGAGGAGGAGGAGGAGAAGGAGAAGGGCGAGGAGGAGGAGGAGGAGGAGGAGGAGGAGGAGTTCGAGCTAGGAGGAGGAGGAGGAGGAGGAGGAGGAGGAGGAGGAGGAGGAGGAGGAGGACAGGGAGACGGAAGGGGAGACGGAGGATCGGCCCGCCGAGGGGGCGCGGCCGATGCGGCACGACACGCCGCGGCCCTCGTGACCGAGCCTCTCTGCTTGCGAGGGCGGGCCCGTCTCTCTGGGCGGGGAGCCGGGCCTGGCATCGCTCGGACGTGCGCATTTTTCCTTCGGCGAGGACCATCGAGGAGCATCCTTGATCATTTGGCGAAAACCACGCACGAAACCAAAACAAACAGGACATGGACGTCCGAGCGATGGCCAGTGGGGGTGTGCTCGGGCCCCCCGAAGGCCAGAGCCTGGCCGCTGCGTTTGGGGCTTGGCAATTCCCAGGCGATCACAAACATGGGCCAATGGGGGCGCGGATTAGCGACGGATCCCGTTTCCACGGGAAACCGCGAATTTCCGCCGCCGAGCGGGGCGGCATTTTGGCAAGGGCACCTCCCCCGATCCATGGATTTGGCGACCGCACGCCAAATCCATGGATCGCTAATCCCCCTGAAATTCGCGAGCCTGCGCACCACCTTCCTTGCACTGTCTGAGGCCAGGTCCCCTGGGCAAGAGACGGGAGCGGGTGGAGCTTCCTTACCACAGTGCTCGTGTAACGACCCCAAACGAGGACATTTCGTGTGCCCGATCTGACCTCTCATCACCATGAGCGAAGCGCATGGGATTGGTGCGCAGTCTTGCCACCGATTCGGAGGGAGGGGTAGGCCGAAGGAGGGATCGGGAGGGGAACATTGCAGACTGAAACCGACGTTCTTCCTGGGCACGGTTTCTCCCGCATCCACTCATGTATTGCAATTCCCGCTGGCCCTAACTCACAGTGGAAACAAATCTGGGGCTTCTTGTCCGTGGGGTGTTGCTGCATGCAGTGACCCGTCACACGCTCGAGCTCCTGCCGAAGCGAGGCTATCTTCACTGACCTCAAGCGTGGCGGAGGACGTTGGTGCTTGACTCTGGGCAGCGAGTAAACTTCAGCGGCAACTGCAGCTAGTCGTGTGTGCACCCGTGCCATGAGGTTCTCGAAACAAAGTAGTGAATTGAGCAGAGGTTGACCCGGTGCGCTCAGGTGTCCGCTCTTGCATTTGCAAAGTAGCGCACCAAGGTTGGAGGGGAAACTCTCAGGCTAACTCCGTCCAGGTGGGAATTGTTTTTCTTGAGGGGCACGCGGGTGATCTTGTCGGGCCTCTGGAGGATGGCTGCCTTGATTCTCTGCCACCAATGCTTATGAGGACCTGGTGGGCGCAACCAGAGCCTGCTATGCCAGCCTTTGTAAACCAGCGCATTCTACGTCCAGATCTCGAGGGGGCCTTGGGTGTATAGCACGATGTCGTAAAAGGCTGCCCGCTCAGAACTCGGGACCGTTTGGCCCCCCAAAAACCGTATTGAAGAGTTTTGTGTGGATCAGGAAGTTGGCCGAGGTCGGAAGGAACTCCCCAACCCGATCTTGCATTCCGAGTGTACGTCGAGTTTGCCGATCTGTCGAGGTACGCAACGGTGAGGCTGTAGATGAGTGCCTTCAAGCTGCTTGTATGCCCTAATGTGGGGAACCTCATCCAGATCGACGTCGTACACGTTTTGACATTCATTCCAAGTTTGGGCCTCCAGAAATTCGTTGAGCCTTGCTGGGATAATACCACAGCACGTTTCATGTCTGGCTCCTCGCTCATGGACTGTATTGTTTTGCGTTTGAGGTCTTCGGCACGGTGGATCCAGTCATGGTCGGTGCCATATTTTTCTGGCACTGGTAGAAGCGACGGGGCAGGTCTGCAGCGAGGGCATTTTGCCTCGCACGCGTATCGTGCCAGCGAGGTCCGCTGTGCAGTCCAGCTTCTGCCCGTGATGACCTTCTCCATCCAGCGCGCATGCCTCCTTGAACTTTCCCCTGCGACGCATCCAGCGCAGAGTGCGCTGCGCCAACCACAGGTGTGCACCTTCTGCCAGTCCGTTCCCTTCGGGATGCTAGCTCGCCTTCTTCCACAGACCGGCCGTGGTTTGGGCGTTGACTGTGTCACAGCGGCTTTGCATGCCCGTGTCATTGGGGTGATAGATCCACTTGTTGTCAGTTGGGTCCGTCCAGCGATCTGGCTCCGGTCTAGTTCGCCCATGGCCACGAGGAGTGCACCCATTGGTCCAGTCGCCGACCTCCATTTGGATAGTGCTTTGATGGCGCTCAGCTTGATGTAGACAGGGGGGCTCGAGCTTGGTACTGCTGCTGCTCCCATAAGTTGAACCATTCGTTGATCTGCCCTCGTATGTTGAACGGCACTAGCCTCTGCTTGCCGTAGATGTCTAGCATGCTGGTGGACGTACATCCTCCTCCAACTGAGCATCCTGCAATGCCAGTTGCTGTTGCTCGTTCCTTCTGGACTCGCATTGCAAGTAGGCCTATAAGTGCCTCATCATACATCCGTTTGGAACTAAGTTTGGAGTTGTAGAGCTTTGCTGTAACGTGCCTACTCCACATTTCTGGAATATATAAGCCATCTTGAATCTCTTCGTTGTTGCCTTTGCCCTCTTTACTGCTGTAGGGGGACGCCTCTGTTTGCCGCTGGTGTTGTCGAAACCTAGGTCTCACGTGGCATTTTTTGTCTTGATGCTTACTCCGTGCTTGGCATCAGACTGCCTTCTGCACTGAGACGTGGCCAAGGATAATCGTATTCCCTGACCCCTTGATGCCATGATCCGGGATATTTTCCACCAGCGCAACCAAGCCTCTACATTTGATGCCGTGCCAGTGGTCGTAGTCCGTCAGCGCGCACCAACAAGTCGTCAACGAATTCTCCTACCATGAGCCCAGTGTAGCGAGAATGCACGTGCTCCAGCAAGTCGTAGAGGTAGATTCTCGCCATACGGTTTGCCTCCGTGCATCCTGCCAACAGCCCAGTGTCGGTTCAACGCCTTGCAGTTGTAGACGTCTCTGACTCGAATGACTCTGGGGCTCAGGCAGAGCAAGTTTGACATGTAAAGAATCACCGGCGAGTATGCCAAGTTGACTGCGAGATGGCGCAGTTTGGGGACATCAACATGGTCGTACAATTGCAGAACGTCCAAGAATCGTGCTGCAACGCTCGTGTCGCCTCTGGCTGCCGAGATTTCGTCTAGGACCAGAGTTATGAGCGTTGCCTGCAATGCTGATGCTGATGCTGATGATGCTGATGATGATGCTGATGATGATGATGATGATGATGATGATAATGATGATGATGATGATGATGATGATTATGATGATAGGGTGATAGTCTTGTCTATCCCAAAAGCAAGTCTTGGATTCGCATCACGCGCCAAGCATGTGCTTATTCACCCGACCACATACCATACTAGGCATGTGTAGAAGGCCTATTGGTCGTTTCCCCGTTGTTTTAGCTCCACCCTTGATAGGTAAACATATTCAGGTATGGAAGAGATGGTACGGTCAGGCGAGCTCGGACATACAGGTGTTGAGGACGTTGGTGAACTCTCGTTTCGCCGCCTGCGGTGTCACCCTCAATGTCGCTCTCTCGACCACTGGTCCACTGCCATTGCCGTCTGGTGTTGGCCTGACTGGATGCCGATCTCGACGTCGTGGATAGTGGATTGTTCCCAGTCTGTGTCGATGTGTTATTTGGCGTGACGGCATAAGGTGTTCATTCCGTCGCTGAGCATGTTGCCTCCTGGATCCACCGTCTACCTTTTATACAACTTGCAGGCTCGAGCGTCAACACATCCTTGGTGATCTCCAATCACCTCGCCGTAGTGTGTGGCCGTGTCATGGAGCTCTTCCTTCTCAGCACGCGACATTGATCGATGTGCGGTTTAGAGGTGATCCTGAAGGGACAGTTGTGCCCACTCTGATCGAGATTTGTGTCGACGTCCACGTACCTCTTGAATCTGACCCTGCGCACTCTCGGGCCCGATCCCACGCGACCCTCGCCTGCTCAGGATCAGGAAGACGCTTCTCGAATTGAGCTCGACGTAGCAACATGCTGAGCTCGCCGACGATGCTTCAAATCGTTATCTGGTCCGTCTGGTGGAGATTTCGCCCGCATGCGCTGGGCCGCGTCGATTAGTGTATCGACGAGGGCCCAGACTCCCTTGTGAGCTGCTGGTCATGCTGCAGTGTTAACGTCTGCCGTCGCCTCGACCTCTCCAAGGGAATGCACCCAGGCCATGAGGTGTTTGGAAATACTAGGGCGACCGGCCTCCCCTGGGTAATGCGCGTCCCAGGCCATGAGGTCACCGCCCCCCCCTTTCCTGGGGAGCCCACGTCTCAGGCCATGGGGTCTGGCCGACTCGCCCGAACCTCCCAGGCCGTGGGGTCTGAGGTCTGACGTAGTCGTGGGCTCTACGCCCACTCCTGGGGAACGCACGTCCCAGACCATGGGGCAGGCAGTACTCGTGGGCCGCCTGGATGTCGAAGCCGCCGATCCGACGCCCCCCAGACCCCCCCCCCAAGGGAACGCACATCCCAGGCCATGGGGTCTGGTAACCGCGTAGTCTGCTCAGTTGTCTCTGCCATGGCCTCGTCAGCGCCGTTCTGCTCATGCTCCAGGTCCAGGAGTGGATCGTAGCCAGGATCGTCGTCCATGTGATGCTGCACTGCTGTTTGCTCAGTTGCGCTGCAAGGTAGGGCGCTGCCAAAAGGGAGGCTGGCCCAGGAATGGCACTGGTATGCTGGAGTACGCGCTGCGAGCTTCTTGATGTGATCATCATAGAATTGGTCCTCGAGTTTGTACTAGAACAGTTTTGCAATTCCCGGAAGCGCACGAGGGGGGCTTCCGAGTGGTGCGCGCAATCGGTGCAGTTGAAAGTACGCAGTCCGACGCGGCCGTGGCGATGCGCGTCGGCGTGAGCATGCGCGCAGGGCGCTTGGCGCAGGCGAGTAGGCTCGCCTCGTCGAGCGAGCAGCCGCATGCGCCTTCTGCGTGGAGCGTCGCCTTTGGGCTGCCGCTGGCGCAGAGCGTTTCCATGCTCTGCGGCCAGTTCCGTTCCTTTGAGGCTGGGCTCCTGCTCGACAGTGAGGTCGGCATCGGCCTTGAAGCTGGCTGGCTAGACTTAGGTCGGGCCTGTCCCTCTACAGGGGGGAATATTTGAAAATAGTACAAACATCATAGGGGGACTATTGTTTGGGTATTGTTTCACATGTTCGGTGTATTAGTTGGTTATTTTCAATTTTCCGTACAAAATCCAACTGTAGGGGGACAGACCCGACCTAAGGCTAGACTCATCCAGGCATGCCGCGTACCTGACGGGATGTGGAGCGGGCCTGGCCGCCTCATCATCTCTTCGAGTCTGTGGCGCAGCAGTCGGCCTCTGCGGCGTTCCTCGTTTGGCCGTTCACTGTCCGCGAGTTGGAGGAGCGATGCTTCGGCTTCCATGGGCCATCGTCCGTACATATTCGCGAAGGTCAACGAAGCTTCAGGATCGGTTGAGTACGCCATGTTGTGCTGATTTCCGGGGCTTGCGATGGGGATGCCACTGGTGATCTTCTTGTTGTGACCCCAGTCTTCGTCGTCAATCGAGCATAGGATAGTCTTAGTGCAGTGCTGGTCTAGGAGGCGGCTGTGGATGTCCGTGTCGCTCTCCATAGACTCGCCATTTTCGGTATGGTGAAACTGCGCATGCCGATCTCCGCCGTGCTGCTTACTTACGCTCGAGTACTTTTCCGATTTGGATCTGGTGATCTGGAATCTCGATGGCTGCTGGCAGCAGCGGTCTGGTGCACGTGATTGCGTCTGGTCTTGCATGTATCGCAATCTCTATATATTCCAACGTGTGGTTGCCGAGGTACTGCGTAGACTGGCTGCACTGGAGGAGACGGACGAAGGCGTGGAAGAGAAAAAGGGAGGGAGAGGAGGACGACGACGAGGAGGAAGAGGACGAGGGCGAATATGAGGATGAGGCGGAGGATGATCAGCACCAGGACGAGGAGGACGATGAGGGGGAAGGAGGAGGAAGAGGACGACGACGACGAGGAGGTGGAAGGGGGAGGAGGAGGAGGAGGAGGAGGAGGAGGAGGAGGAGGAGGAGGAGGAGCGCGGTGAAGATGTCCTTCGCCAGAGTGGCCCTTGGTGCGCGGCCTTCGGGAGGGGGAGGAGAAGGGGGGGGGGGGGGCAGAAGTCGAAGAATAAAAGTCGAAGAAGAAGCGATTGCACAAACACCAACTTTCCAAGATCCGCAAGAATTTCTTGGACTTGCGCTGGGGCCCCCCCTGGCGTCGCCTCCGGCCCCGCCCCTGGCGCGCGCCCCGCGCCAGGGAGGGGGTCCAGCGCCGAACCAAGAAACCCGCGTGGACCTGCGGGCGTTCACGTCGTAGCACTCCGCACTGGCGGATAAGGGCGAGGGGGCGGCGGGGACGTCGGCAGTCTGCGAGGCTCCCAAGAAGCCCGCCGCAGTCGCTTAATTTTTACAAATTATACAACGAACCCGCCGCTTGCGCCGATTTTCGTTTAAGCAATGTGGGTGGGTCACCGGTCGCGGGTGGGTCGCGGTTGGATCGCGGGCCAGGTCGCGGGTGGGCCGCGGAAGGGTCGCAGGTGAGTGGCGGGCGGGTCGCGTGGTGGGTTTAGGGTGGGTCGCAAGGTTGGTCGCGGGTGGGTCGTGGGTGGGTCGCGGGCGGGTCAAGGGTGGGTCGTGGTTGGGTCGCGGGTGGGTCACGGGCCGGGTCGCGGGTGGGACGACGATGACGACAAGCAATAAATAGCAAACAACAAACAACGCAACAATAACAGCAATAACAACACTAACCAATAATAACAACAAACATGACAACAAAACCAACAGCAACAACAATCATGACAACAACAGCACCACCAACAGTACCATCAACATCAACATCAACAGCAACACCAGCACCATCAATCACAACAACACCAACAACAATCATGTTAATGTCGTTCGCTCTTATCTGCTCGCGGGCCATTCAACACGTATATCCCAAACCCGCGATCGTTGTTTTTTCGTTTTCGATCGTACCCCCCTGGGGGTGAGCATCTTTCTTGCCGGCAATGTGTATTTCTTGGGCAACGTGTATTTCGTGCAGCCCCTGCGGCAGGGGAAGGGAGGACGGATGGAAGGAAGGGACAAGGGGGAGGGAGATGGATGCAGCACGAGAGAGAGAGAGAGAGCGAGAGAGAGTAGCAGCAGGGGGGCCAGGATCAGAAGGCACGATGGAGAACACGATGGGCAGATGGGGCGGGTAGACCTTGACGGGCGGGTCGGGAAGGTTGGCCCAAGCGGCCAGGTCGAGCAGGCGGCTCGGTGAAGCGTGGTTATGCATGAATCACGGAAGAAGTCTGGAGCCATAGCGCTATTCCCAGATATGTCGTGAGGCAATCGAAAGCGAGAAAGTGATTCCTCAGTGTCGAGGGCGCAGCGTGGAAATGAATTGCGGGGAAGTCCCGCGCGAGAGTGCGATTCATGTATAGATGTTGAGCAAGTCCTGCGCGAGAGCGCAATCTGGGAATGCATTGTGAGGAAGCATCGGGCGGGAGCCGCTGTTGTTGCAGACCGGGGGCCAACACAACACAATTCTGAGACCCAAGAATTCCCTTACAAAGAACAGGGTGCGAACCCCGGGAAGTGCAGCTGAATTGAAGAACCAAATGTGCCCCAGAGGAGGGGCTAAACAATAATTGTTTACAGTAGTAAGAGTTCAACAACAACAACCGCACCACCACCAACAACAACAACATCAGCAACAACAGTCTGCACCACGGAACCTCACTACAGCCACGCACCCAGGGGCAGTGAATGACCGTTCGGCCCCCGCACTCTGATTTACGCCCATTCCTTCTCTTCTATAGGGATTAGTTTCGGGGGTCATCTGCATCCCCTTCGCGGGTCATGCTTGGATTTGGGTTTCTTTCAGGGATCATCCTTGGATTTCATTCGGGGATCGCTCGTTCAAGTGGGAACGGCACGGTGAAGATCAGCATGGCCCCTGAGCGAGGACGACGCACACACACACACACACGAATCGTATATAATGTTCACGGGCTGCGCTCGAGCAGGTGGGAGAAGGAGGCAGTGGGCAGGCCTGCAGGATGCGGACGGGTCGCTCCAAGAGAGGTCCGAGAGCGCCGCCGCAGCGTCTGGAGCGTTCTGGGACGGCCGCGGCGCACAGCACATCCTCCAGGCCTGCAGATTCCCGGTTCCCCTCCGAGTCGATCTCCAGCCTGCCCTCGTCTCGGAGGAGGACGGGGAGGGCGAGGAGGAAAGGGCCGGCCGGGCGACTCGGGAGAGCTTGCCCGCTGGAGCCCCCTGGGGATGCAGGACCCATCCCACAGAGACCCTCTCCTCTCATCCTCCTTATGCCTCATCTTGATCCTCCTCCTCCTCTTCCTCCTCCTCCTCCTCCTCCTCGGGCCCCCTCCCTTGTTCTTCTGCATCTCCCTCCCGTCTCCTGCTCGGACCCCCTCGTCTTGCTCCCTCCCACTCCGCGCCCTCGGCCCCCCTTGGGGGCTGCACGCGCGCTGCGGGCCCCACCTGCATGCGTAGAGCGGCGGGCGAGCGCGAGAGTCATGATGCTGCCGTTCCCTTGGCATCGCTCTGGATGTTTGCATTTTCTCTCGGCGAGGGCCAGCGATACGCAGACAGGGACGACAACGAAAGAGGTGGTGCGACGACATCTCACAAGTTCAACAGGCTACCACTGGTGATGCAACCAAGACGTGGTGGGATGATGCTGAAAGCCGGGCACTATGGAACCTTTGGGGAGATGATTATGTTTTTCACGCCAACAGTTGACCGGGCCCCGGCCCGCCCGCGCCGCTCCTAGGGGGCCCGCCTGCCGGCGGACATGCGCGTCTCGTCTCGTCTCTCGGCGAGGGCCTTCGAGGGGCATCCTGGATCTTTGAGCAGCAGGATCGCACGAAACCGAACAGCGCACTGGGAATGGACGTCCGAGCGACGGCAAGTTCCACAGATCAGCATTGGAGGTGAGGTGCAAGGTGGGACCGATTCATGTTGCGGTTGATGTGTATTTCTCGTACATCCTCAACCTTCATGTTCATATCTTCATTATCTTGCTTCTCACCTTTTCCATCCTCAGCCTCCTAGCCCCCCCTCGTTGTTCTTATCCTCCGCAGCATACTCCCTCTCCATGATCTTCCTCGTCATCATCCAACTTGTCCTCCTCCGCTGGTCCTCATTCTCACCTTCCCCTTCGCCTCTATCATCCTTGTTGCCCTCCTTCTCTTCAAAATGCCCTCCGCCGCCACCTGTCCAGCCCTCCTCATCCCTCGACCCCTTCTCCAGGCTCGCCTTCAGCCCTTCCTCCTGCCTGCCCCTCGTCTCTCCTTCCCACCTCCCGGTCTGACCCCCCCCTGCCTCCTGGTATCCCTTTTTCATGTGTTGCCTGTACACTCGCAAGCGCGCATGTGATACATTGCCCCTTTCTCCACTACCCTCGCTGCTCAGTCTTTCGCCACAAGCTGTACAGGATGCGCGCTGCCCACGCAATTCGAGCGGCCTCTCAGCATGAGCCGTATTCCAGCATCTGCTGTTATGTACGTTGCGTGCCCGCCAGGCAAGACTCGATCTGTTCGGTGAAGTGCCTCGACATATGCAAGGAGAAGGCACCTGGGACGTGTTGACTCATCCCTTCGATCGCGCTCCCTGGGTATGCGGGGCAGTCGTTGTCTACGCTTTGCCACACGTCATCGTAACTGCTTTTTTTCCTCGTCCATCATCGGTCTGCTCGTAGGCCCGTCTGGCCTCTCAATGTCACGTCTCTTCTTCTATCTGCTCTTCCTTTTGTCTCCTGCCCTCATCCTCACTTCCTCTTTCCCTCTGCTCTTGCTTGCCTCTGCTCGTCACTGCCCTCACATTCCATGTCCTTCCATCTGCAGCTTTGCTTCCCAGTTCACTTCCTGGTCATCCATCCCACGACTCCTTGCCTGCATCATTGCTCTCGGATTCTGCCTCCTCCCTCGTCTACGCATTCCTCTTGGTTTCCGATGTGTGTCATCTGTGCAGTATTGTTATATGCCTCTTCGTGTTCATCCGCACCCCTGCCCGACCCCGACCAGTTGACCAACTCGACGAAGAACATGAAATACTGCGACTACACCTGTGCGAAGTACTGCGACGGCTCGAAGGCGCAGACGGGGAGCAGACCGGGTGACCTATGAGCGGGTGAGCAGGGCACAGAGCAAGGTGGAGCTCTGGAGGTGGTTGCAACTGCCTCGGGGAAAGATGTGACAGGGAGCAACGGCACCAGAGTGGAGAGGAGCAGGCGGAGGAGGAGGAAGGGTCGCTCGAGGAGGCGGAGGAGGAGGAAGGGTCGCTCGTTGCGTGCACGGCACGTAGCCGTTAAGAGGAGGAGCAGGAGGAGGAGGAGGAGGAGGAGGAGGAGGAGGATCTCTCAGCCCCGCCCTTTGGGTCGGCGTGCCTGGGGCTTCGAGTGTCCTTCAGGGGTGCGGGACGATCACTCTTTATCGAATCTCCCGTCTTCCCGCATCCACTCGATCCCCACATCCGCTCGCATGGTCTGCGAGCTCGTCAGTTCCTCTAGATGCGGGCGAGGCGAGGAGGAGGCAGGAGGGGAAACAGCACACACTCAGACTCAGTTCAACGCCGACTTCCAGGAACATCTGGGGAACTATGGGACGTGGGGGGGGGGCAGACGAAACTCGAGCGCATACAGAAGAACAGATGGGGACTGTGTCTATTTCTTTGTGTGCCCCTGGGGGCCCCTTCCGGGAGGACCGCGCCGCTCGACCCGCACCCGCGCGTTGCCGGACCGGAGGCCGAGAAGGCCGCCAAGGAGAGCGTCGAGCGCGGCGACTGGGGCGCCCGGATCACGCAGGACGCCCGCACGGACACGTTCAAGGAGTCGAGGCCCCGCCCGGCCCCGGCCGTCGGAGGCGGTCGCGCGTCACCGCGGGCGGAAGGGTGTTGCTGTTGGGGGTCGGGGGCAACGATAGGGGGGATATGCTTGGCGTGTTTTCCACCACCACCACCACCATAAGTTAGATGGAGGAGGTGGAGGACGAGGAGGAGGACGAAGAGGATGAGGAGGAGGAGGACGACGAGTATGAGGAGGAGGAGGGGGAGGAGGAGGAGGAGGAGGAGGAGGAGGACCTCCTCCCCCTCCAACCTATGGTGGTGGTGGTGGTGGAAAACAGGCCCAGCATATGGGGGATGCATCGCCCCTCAATCGCACATTGATCGCCGACAGGGGCCCGATAGCCCCAACCTGCCCAGGAGGGTTCGGATTCACTATCGGAGGCCTATCGCTGATCGATCGGCGGTGTATCGTCGATTCCAGGTCGGTGCATCCCCCCCTGTGCCAGTCCCCCCCCATCGTCGCCCCTCAAGGGGTGGGCTCGACCTGCACGTAACATGTGTTCGGCTTCCAATCATTGGAGCCTTGTGTACCCTCGCAGTTCCGTCTTTAGAGTGGACTGGCGTCGATCATCGTTTGGTAATCGATGATTTTTGGCGCCAATTCAGCGTCGACGAGCATCGAGTAGTGTCGATTAGCGTCGATTGAGGGCAAACCAGATGGTATGGGAGGCTCCCATGAGTTTCCACCGAACTGGAGTCCAAAGCCCGGACAGGGGAGCGCCCGAAAGGCCTTCCAACGCTTCTGGAGGGAGCTCTGGCAGCTCTCGGAGGAAGTTTCTGCAGGAGCATCCGAAGAGCTTGACGACATACGTGTTGGAAAGCAGTAAGAGGAGGCCTTCCCGGACACGCTGCGAGTTCGCAGGAGTCGTATGCCGGAAGCCGGAACGAGCTCCAGGGCTACCCTGCGGTGCCGGCTTCCAATCTGGAATCTTTTTTATCTCGCGGAGAGTTGCCTGGGGGTGGGCTCGACCTGCTCGTAATAAAAGTGGCCCTCGCTGGAGTTATCGTTTAAAAGCCGCGTAAAAAGTCACGCTGGCCTGTCAGAGGAGGAAGGGGTACCCACACCGCTGCCCTTTCCTTATTTTCGCCTTTTTAGGCCTCCTGGGACGCCCTTGTCGACACGGCTGAATTCGCGTCGACATTCACCATAACGCACCCATGAGAGGTCCGGGGAGTGGCACATCGATGGAGTTTTCTTCTAAAGCCGCGCATCAAAAGGCACCCTTGCCTGTGTAGGGCCGCTCTTGCGTTCGGGGGCAACGGCAGGGGGGGATGGGCTCAGGTGGGGACGCATCGATCCCCAATCGCCCGTTCATCGCTGATAGGGGCCCGACAGCCCATCCCGCCCGGATGCGTACAGAACGTGTTATCGAGGGCCTATCGCCGAGCTATGGTCGATGTGCCGCCGATCCTAGGCGAATGTTTCCCCTCTGCGCAAGTCCCCCCCCCGCAGTTGCCCCTCCTAAGAGCGTAGGGGTGACCCTCCTCGGGTGAGGCAGCAAGACCAACAGAACAGGCGTAAGCTTTGGAGGTCCCCCAGGGATTCGTAGCTCGGCGAGGAGGAGGAAGAGGAGGAGGAGGCGTACGAGACGCAGAACAGGAGGGGGCGCGGTGGGCATGTTGGACAATCTTTACGGTTATGTGGAGCACCTTGAGACTTCTGGGTGTATCTTGCGGCTTCTCGAGTGCTGGACCCCCTCCCCAGCACCCCTTCCCCAAGCATGTAGAGCGCGCTCGGGGGCAGCGCCGGAGGCGCCGCCAGAAGTGCGGGGAATCGTCGGTGGTTCAAAGATGGGGTCCTGCTTCCTCCGCCTCCTCCTCTTCTTCCTCCTTCCTCCGCCTTCTCCATCCTCCTCCTCCTCCTCTTCCTCCTCCTTCTCCTCCTACTCCATCCTCCTCCTCCTCCTCCTCCTCCTCCTCCTCCTCCTACTCAATCCTCCTCCTCCTCCTCCTCCTCCTCCTCCTCCTCCTCCTCCCTCCCTCCCTCCCTCCCTCCCCTCCCTCCCTCCCTCCCTCCTCCCTCCTCCTCCTCCTCCTTCCTCCTCCTCCTCCTCCTCCTCCTCCTCCTCCTCCTCCTCCTCCTCCTCCTCCTCCTCCTCCTCCCTTTCTCCTTCTCCTCACCCCAATCGTACGGGTTTTTGTACTTTTCGAGGCACCTCGTCCTTGGTGCCGTCTTGAGGTCCTCGTGGGAGCCGTTTGGGTCGTCTTGGGGTTCGTGGACCGTCTTTGGGTCCTCTTTGGGCGAGTTCTGGCAGTTTGGGCCTAGCTTCGGGGGGCTCCTTCGACTGTCTTGGACGCTCTGAAGGCCAAGAAGGCGAGAGTCAGAAAGCGTTAGTCAAATTTATATACATATACAAATAACTCAATCTCATTCTGGCATCACGAGGACATCCGATAGGGTCCTGTCTGAGCCCTATCCTCTTTGTGCTCTCGTGGGCCGTCTTGAAGGCCTCTCGGGGTGTCGTGACGCCATCTTGGGCCGTCTCGGAGGCTGTCTCGGGTCGTTGGCGTCTCTCCGGATCCGTCTGAGCCGAGGAGATCCCCTTTTCAGATGCGCGAGCCCAGATCTGTTCAGGGGCCAACGGTGTGGGGTTGGGGCTTCACCCCCCCCCCCGCTGCTCTCGATGAACTATCCGGGGTCGGGCCCAGGACCGCGAGTTCTGCCTCCTGGAGTTCCAGAGTCCTCGAGGGACGAGAGGGCGGGGGAGAGGGACGGACGAGAGGGGGACCATCCCACCTGGAGGCGAAGCCGCCCGCCGTGCTCTGCGCGCCCGGAGCGGCCGTCTCGACCCGCGTTCGCACGGCGGCTGCTGCGTCGGCTCGAAGGTTCTCCCCTCCGCCTCTCAGGAGGGAAAAAAAAAACACAGACATAATGAATCGTCGATTCCCCCGAACATGTGGGCAACTATGGGCCGTGGGGTGGAAGACAGAAACCACGAAAACATGGCAAACTACGGGGAATCCTGCTACTTGTGTGCATTTACTTGTGTGCCCCAGGGCCCCCTTCAGACTCCTCTCTCTCCCATTGTCGTTCCTCTCCCTCCTCGTCCGGTTTGCTACGCGCATGTCGTGGGCATCGTCATCCGCAGGGTGGCGCGGTTCTCGGGGAAACGCATCCGCGTGCCCGGAGGTTGAACGAGAAGAAGATGACGGTCGTTGACAAGATGTTTGGAGCCGATGCCTCCACAGGGGTGACTTGGGAGGGAGGAGGAGCAGGAGCAATAAGGCACCTCGGAATGCAAGAGGCAGGTCACGCTGTGACAGGAAGAGAGATGAGGGCAGGGTGGAGATATTGGTATGACTAATGATGTGCTTGGGAAGTTTCACAAACAATCCTGGGTGCATCCAGAGTTTTCTGGTGATTTGCATATGTTTGGTAGAGGAGTAGCAGCAAGAGGAGAAGGAGGAGGATCGCCAGCGGCACATGCACCCTTTCATAGTGTGGAGCTCACAACCCACCATTGCGAATGGCTGACCAGTGTTTTGAGTTTCCGAACCTGGCCATTCGCGATCGAGGCCATCGCCATTGAGGATACCATCGGTTCATAATATGTTGTGCATCGATGGTTCTCGCTTCGTTCTACCATATTGGGTACGATCGGCTCCCACCAGGATGTTGAAGCTATATCACACACAAACACGGGGAGGGTAGGAGGGAGGAGGGATCATGGAGGGGTTGAGGGTGGGATGCATATATCTACAATTAGATGATCAAATATATGTATATACATATGCATGTAGATGCATATATACATATAACGGCGCACCGGGTCCGGGGGCCCGGGGCCGGGACCTCGACCACAAATGTGCACCCCGGGGGGCCCGGAGGCTCGTCGGGGCTTGCCGGAGGCCTCCCCAGTCAGACAAGACGGCCCAAGAAGCGCCCAAGACGGCCCAAGAAACTTCCAAGAGGCCTCCAAGAGGGCTCCGAGATGCTGAAGATGGCCTCCAGACGTCCAAGGAGGCCCCCAAGAGGCCCCAAGAAGCCTCCAACATGCGTCCCAAGAGGGCCCCTAGACGCAAAAATTGGCCCATTCCCTTCGTAAAACGTACATTTTTCACAAAGTCGCCTTTTGGGCTTTCCGACGTTACAGGACGGCCCAAGAGGCGCCCAAGACCGCCCCAAGACGGCCCAAGAAGCTTCCAAGAGGGCCCCAGGACAGCCCAAGAGGGCCCCAAGACGGCCCAAGAGGCGCCCAAGATGGCCCAAGAGGGCCCCAAGACGGGCCCAAGAGGGGGCCCAGAGGGGGACCACGAACCGCAAGCTCGAGCCTTCCGCCCCAAGAGGCCGCCAGGAGGCCCCCAGGAGGCCCCTCAAGAGGCCCCAGGAGACCCCAGACGTCCAAGGACGCCCCCAAGAGGCTCCAAGAAGCCTCCAACATGCGTCCCAAGAGGGCCCCTAGACGCAAGAATTGGCCCATTCCCTTCGTAAAACGTACATTTTTAACAAAGTCGCCTTTTGGGCTTTCCGACGTTACAGGACGGCCCAAGAGGCGCCCAAGACCGCCCCAAGACCGCCCAAGAAGTTTCCCAGAGGGCCCCAGGACAGCCCAAGAGGGCCCCAAGACGGCCCAAGAGGCGCCCAAGATGGCCCAAGAGGGCCCCAAGACGGGCCCAAGAGGGGGCCCAGAGGGGGACCACGAACCGCAAGCTCGAGCCTTCCGCCCCAAGAGGCCGCCAGGAGGCCCCCAGGAGGCCCCTCAAGAGGCCCCAGGAGACCCCAGACGTCCAAGGACGCCCCCAAGAGGCCCCAAGAAGCCTCCAACATGCGTCCCAAGAGGGCCCCTAGACGCAAAAATTGGCCCATTCCCTTCGTAAAACGTACATTTTTCAACAAAGTCGCCTTTTGGGCTTTCCGACGTTACAGGACGGCCCAAGAGGCGCCCAAGACCGCCCCAAGACGGCCCAAGAAGCTTCCAAGAGGGCCCCAGGACAGCCCAAGAGGGCCCCAAGACGGCCCAAGAGGCGCCCAAGATGGCCCAAGAGGGCCCCAAGACGGGCCCAAGAGGGGGCCCAGAGGGGGACCACGAACCGCAAGCTCGAGCCTTCCGCCCCAAGAGGCCGCCAGGAGGCCCCAAGGAGGCCCCTCAAGAGGCCCCAGGAGACCCCCAAGAGGCCCAAAGGAGGCCCCGAGAAGCCCCAAATCGGCCCCCAAAATGCTTCGAACCTGCTTCCAGGAGGCCCCCGACAGGTTCAGAGGCTCCCGAGAAGCTACGTCAAATTCCCAGCGAGCGGCCGGACGAGGCCCCCCACAAAATCACAAGAGGGTTCCAGTATTTGTATCCTTCAGCGCTCTCTGGCCTTCTTCCCCCTGCCCCCTTCCCTGCGACTTTCGTTGACTCAAGCTCGCCTCCTAGCTAGAACCTAAGCGCGCGCGAAGCGCGCGCGTGGTTCTAGTGTATATATATGTAGCTATATGTGTATATGCTCGCCCCTCCCCAGCACCCTCGAACGACGGACTGGGTGGGTGGGGGGGCATCATCCTCATATTCCTCCTCTCCTCATCCTCATCTCCGTCTTTCTTCATCCTATCTCTTCTCCTCCTCTTCCTCTTCATCTGGTCCTCATCCTCTGCTCCTCTCGCTTCCTCATCTTTTTCATCTTCGTCCTCACTCTCTCACCTTCACCACCCTCGTCCTCCTCCTCCTCATCATCATCATCTTCCTCTTCTCCTCATCCACATTTTCCTCACCATCCTCATCTTCCTCCTCATCTCCTTATCCTCCTCATCTTCCTTATCCCCCTCTCCCTCCTGCGATTGGGGGGGGCGAGTATATGTTATTCGTATTCCTCCACTTTCGCCCTTCCTTGCCCTCCCTCTACGTTCTCTTCGTTCTCCACGTTGTGCAGTGGGTTTCAAAATTTGCTTCGGACAGTTTGTCATGGCCTACCTTCTTCTCACACCATTCCTTTTGAGCATGAGCGAGGAAAGCGAGGAGGAGCGAGGAGGAGGAGGAGGAGGAGGAGGAGGAGGAGGAGGAGAACGGTAGTGGAGCGCACAGAGCCTCCGACGAGCAAACGCTGGGAGCACGCGGCAGGGGCTGGCCTTGAAAGCGTTGTGGTTTCCAGCTTGTCCAGCTTTTCCTAGAAACTATCCCGGTGAAAAGCATAGTGCTTTCCACTTTTTCCAGCTTCCACCGCAACGAAACCATTCAATAATGGTGCTTTCTAGTTCTTCCAGCTTTTCAAGCTGTTTTCAGAGACTACCCCATTGGAAATCCTTGTGTGTTTCCAGTTGTTCCTGCTTTTCCAGCCTTTCCCAGAGACTACCCCATTGAAAAACGTTGAATGTTCTAGCTTGTCGTGCTTTTCCAGCTTTTCCCAGAGACTACCTCATTGAAAAGCGCTGTGTGTTTCTAGTTGGTCCCTCTTTTCCAGCTTTTCCCATTACTCATTGACAAAAACGTTGTGGTTTCTAGCTTTTCCTGCTTGTCGTAGTTTCCCCAGAGGCTACCGCATTGAACAACGATGTGTTTCCCAGCTTTTCCAGCTTTTCGAGTTGTTCCCAGAGACTATTCATGGAACAACGCAAGGTTTTCCAGCTTTTCCTGTTCTCTCCAGAGATTATACTCCATTGAAAAACGCTGTGCTTCCCAGATGTTCCAGCTTTTCCCGCACATTACCCTGCTGCGTAGTCCCTGGGAAAAGCAAGACAAGCTGGAAATCGCAACGTTTTGTAATGGGATAGTCTCTTGGGAAAAGCTGGAAAAGCAGGAACATCAGGAAAACACTACGTTTTTCAATGGGGTAGTTTCTGGGAAAAGCTGGAAAAGATGGAAAAGCTGGAAAACAAAGCGTTTTTCATTGGGGTGGTCTGGGAAAAGCTGGGAGGAGAAGGGGGAGGAGGAGGAGGAGGAGGAGGAGGAGGAGGAGGAACGAGGCGGAGGAGGAGGACGACGATCAGCAAACGATAAGTGGAGGTGTTGTGATGTTTGTGGTTGGGGGTTGCTGGGGGGGCGACGACATACATATATATATATATATATATATATACATATATATACATATATATATATAAAGAGAGAGATAGACATATATGTATATATATGTGTATATATAGTATAAACTAAGTACCACCACCCCCGGCCCCGGGTCCCACACCTCCCCGTGACATCTCGGGAACGTTCCCGGTGCCGCTCCCCCGGCCTTTCCGGGGAGCCTCCACAGCGCCCCAGGAGGGCAGTTTGGCCAGGGGCAACTGGAAGTGCAAGACTCCCCCCCAAGCAAGGTCCGCGCGAAACGGAACTGCACGCCCGCGAAAATTCCGCAGCAGCGCGGGCAGTATGATTATTGAGTAAACCATACGTAAGTGGTACGTGTTCCATGCGACTTACCAAGGAACTCCCTCGCGGATTTCTTGGATCGTCGCTGACACCCCTCTGGCGGCCCTTCACGCGCCCCCTTTGTCGCGCTCCAGGCGCCAGGGAGGGCAGACCAACGCCGATCCACAAAATCCGTGCGGAGTTCGGAAGTTTATGTTTATGTTGGGGTCTTATGCTCCTGCTCAGCAGGAAACACGTTCAGGCCGAACGCCTCCGACTTCAGGGACGGGATCTACGAGGTCGGCAACAAGAGGTGAATCTAGGCCTCGCGACGGAGCGCGGTAGCTGCGGCGGCGGCACCCGGGCCCGTGGGAGGGGACGGACGGGAAGGGGGAGATGAGGGGAAGCGGGAGAAGGAGCAAGGGTAATTACGTGGAGGAGAAGGAGGAGGGGGGGGGGGCGAAGAGGAGAAGGAGGAGAAGGAGAGGGGCAGGAGGAGGAGGCGGAGGAGGATGCGGGGCCAGAGTTGTGCAAAAGGCATGCGGGCTCAAGGCAGCCAGCCACCCGGTGGCAAGCTCTCAGGACTTCAGGGCCTCGGGAAGCCCATGGCGGAGAACATTTGCCAGGGGGGGGGGGGGGGGAAACGACGGAGCTCTCGGGCCCCGGGCCCCTCACCGCGACCGCCCCAGCCCCGCAGGGCTTTCTTCGTCCTCCCTCCCCCCGCCTCCTCCCCGGTCCTTTTGCGTGTGACGGTTCTGCAGGCGCGCCCTGGGGGGCGGGGGGATAGTAGCATGAGAGGTCTTGCAGGCGCGGCGGTTCACTTCTTGAGAAGGGGGGGGCCATTGGCCTTCCCCTCTCGCCGCATCGAAGGAGGAGGAGGAGGGGGAGGAGGAGAAGGATGAAGAGGAGGAGAAGGATGAAGCGGAGGAGGAGAGGACGGGGCGGGAGGAATGGGGGGAGCGAGGTTGGAGCAAAACGCGAGGCGAGACTGAAGCAGCAGGTGCGATCGATGCCTCGCCCCACGTGACCATTCCGACATCCAGAACTGACGGGCTGGGCGTATGCGACAAGGGGGAGCAGGGCGAGCAGGAGGAGGAGGAGGAGAGCCAGGAGGAGAGGAGGAGGAGGACGAGGACGAGGACGAGGACGAGGACGAGGAAGGGGAGGAGAGCCAGGATGAGGAGAACGCGACGGAGAACTAGGAGAACAAGGAGGAGGTGGAGGAGGAGGAGAAGGAGAAGATGCCAGGAGGAGGACGAGGAGGACGAGGAGGATGAGGAGGAGGAGGAGGAGGAGGAGGAGGAGGAGGAGGAGGAGGAGGAGCATGGCAGCGGCCGCGCCCAGGCGCCGCCCTGTGCGCGCGCGCGCGTGCTGCGGCAGCCGCGGCGCGGCCGGGTACAGCCGCGCGGGGAGCCCGCAGAGGCCATGCGTTTCGGAGGGGCTCCATGTACGCCGTGTCGTCTGGTCGGCCAAGGGTCCCGGAAACGGCAGGGCCGTTTTCTCGGGAGCCTTGAGACGGGGTTCAATGCAAACGGGGTCAGCCAGAGCGCCGGATCTTGCAGGATCCTGCAGGGACAGGGTCGCATTGACCCGGGTTTGGGTGCCGGGTTTGGGTGCAGCATTTTGCAGGATTCTGCAAGGCCTGACTGACCCGGGTCTGGATTGACCCGGGTCAGAATATCCCCGATGTTCACCGTTTCCGATAAAAGTCTCTTTGAAAAGGAAGCGATAACACATAACGGCGACCGGAAGCAATACAGAAAGGGCGGCCGGTACCGGCAACAAAAACGGAAGCGGGAAATGAGCGCAATTGCACCGGCACAGGCGCAATACAAAAACGGCTCCAGGATTGGAAGCGGAGCCGGAACTGGGAAAAAACGGCGACGGAACCGGCAACAAAAACGACGTCGGAACCGGCTAAAAACGGCCGGCTAAAAACGGCAACACGGAACCGGTAAAAGAAACAACCTGTTCGTTTCCAAGGCCCACAGTGGGTTTTGTAAACGACAGGGTTGTTTTGTGACGGTTTCCGGTTTGCCGTTTTTGTTTGCCGGTGCCGACGTTGTTTTTGTTGCCGGTTCCGTCGCCGTTTGTTTTCCGTTTCCGTCTCCGGTTCCATTGCTGTTTCCAGTCGCCGATGGTTGCTTATCGTTTCCATGTTCAAGACATGTGTTCGGAAACAGTGAAAAAACGGCCTTGCCGTGTCCAGGGCCCATGAAGAGCGAGGCCTCCCCAATGGGGCCCGAGCAGATGGGGTTGGAGCTTCGCGACGTGGCAGCAGATAGTTTCCGCGTCGGCGGCGCCGATAAGAGTTCGGGGGCCCCCAAACGGGGTGGTGACCACACCGTGCGGTGAGTGGGTGGGGATTCGGGGTCACCGCACGGTTCTGGGACTCGAGTCGTTCTCCGAGGATGTATCGGGCGACAGGGGCCTCTGGGGCCCCAATACCGTGCGGTGACGGACCGTGCGGTGAGGTCTTGTGGGATTCCGAGGTCACCGCACGGTCCGTCACCGCACCGTTTCGGGACTCCAAAAGAGTGCATCGGCGATGCATCAGCGCTGCATCGAGGATGCGGTGCGATCCGACCCCATCGACTCGGACCCCATGCAGGAGGGACTCGAAGTCGAAGTGCGCGGTCGGGAAACTGGGGCTCAGCGTGTCGCGCCGCCTCTTCTGGCCCACCGTGCTTCGGCGCGACGCGCTAAGTCACCACCCACGAAAGCATCCCAAGCCGGCCCGAAGGCCTCAATTTACCCTCCATTTCCAGCGGGGGGGGAGGGGGTCGGGGAACATTGAACAACCACACATGGAACCCGCAGCCCCCCCCCTCCCGAAATTCGGGTCAGATTCGGGTCTTCGGGTTGGGTTGGTGTGGTCTGGTAGGCAGTCAGCAGTCACGTCCTCAGTCCCGAAGCGTCAGTGTCCCGAGCTTTTTGGAGCCTCCCGCCCCGCGGAGCGGAGCGACACGGCGTCTTCAACTCTCGAGACATACACAGCGTGTCGCGCTGGGGCCGCCGCGACACGCTCAGCACGAGCTGTTGACCGTAGACGCTGCAGCATCCCACAGGTGGGGAACCTGGTGCGTCTATGCACCGAGCTCCTCGGCCGGCCAGACGACGTGTGTATGCTTCGAGCCCCCCCCCCCCAGTCCGGGCGCCGCATGTCTGACTTTCCAGGGTGCTAGCAGACAGCCCTCCAAGACGTGCGGCCACCGCGCACAGGAGGGGTGGGTGGCTGTCCCGAGGTTGCCACTGCATCCTTGCCTCTCTGGCCCGTCTTTGGCCGATTTCTGTGCCCCTGCGCCGCTGGAAACGCCTCGACTGTGGAGCCCAAGAGGCGTACAAGCTTACTGCGAATCCGTATTGCATGTACGTTGGACCACAACAGCTTACAACCACGAATTGGAGTCGGATTCAAACGTCTTGGCGTGATGCGTTCGCCTTCTTTTGGAAGATCAGGGATTTCGGTGGTGATGATGATGATAATGATGATGCTTAGGATGCTGATGCTGCTGATGATGATGCTGCTGATGATGATGGTGATGATGATAATGATGGTCATCACGAGTATGCTGATTGTGTTGAGTATGATGGTTATGATGAGTATGTTTATGACTGTGATCACCGTCACCATCATCACCATCATCACCATCATCATCATCATCACCAGCAGCATCATCATCAGCATCAGCATCAACATCAGCATCAGCATCATCATCACCATCGTCATCGTCATCGTCATCGTCATCGTCATCATCACCACCATCATCATCATCATCATCAGCAGCAGCATCATCATTATCAGCATCAGCCAGAAGCTGCTCCCTTCCCGTCCTGGGCTTCCCGCGCCGCTGCGAGGCCCCTCCTGGCCCCCGGGGGTGGCGCTGGTTGGGGGCCCGCGGGGCCTCTCGGCAAGTCTTGCGTCGGGCCTTTCCCTCTGCAGGAAGAATATCCCAAAATAGGCAACACGTAATTCGGGGACGACATTTGGATTCTTCTTTGATTGTTTTTGAGCATTGTTTGATTGTTTTTTATGTTTCGTCCAAAATCCGCCTTTAGGGGGACATGCCCAACCTAAAGCAAGTCCCTGCGGACACCGCTGCAGACCAGCCATGACTGGGGGAACCATTACAGTGGAGACCCATGCCAAGAAACACCCTGCTTGCCTCCAGGGTGCCCTCGGTTTCTTGGGTTTCGATGGTTTTGCTGTGGAAAGCGTGACGCTCCCACACCGAAAGCCGATGGACGCCCTGGGGTCTCAGGGTTGGGTTTCTTGTGGAAGTTTTCTTGTGGACTGGCCTCCACTGTCCCCCTTTGGGGGGCTCCTCGGCTTTGACGGCCCCTCTCAAGAGAGCGTCAATGCGATGAGCTCCCCCAGGGATGGCCGGTCGGCGTGGGCCAGGGAGACCTCTGGCAGCACCGTGGCGCCCGCCCGCAGGAGACGCCCGGCAGCGAGCGCCCGCCCGCATCTCGGGGCTCAGGAGACGGGGGTCCATGCAAACGGGGGTCAGTCAGAGCGCCGGATCCTGCAGGATCCTGCGCCCGAGCCCGTGGATCCCGCCAGGCCTGACGAGCCCGGGTGTGCACCGACCCCGGTCAGTGCGTCCCCGAGCAACGCAGGGAAGGGCGGGGCGGGGCGGGCCTCCGCGCGGCGCCGCGGCAGCGGCGCCGGCTCCCCGCGGCGGCCGAAAAAGGGGAAGGAAAAGCCGGACGACCGTCACAGTCGAGGAAGGACCAATGATGATGATGGGCCTATTTTCCCACACCACCACCAGAAGTTGGAGGGGGAGGGGCTCCTCCTCCCCCCTCTCCTCCTCCTCCTCCTCCTCCTCCTCCTCCTCCTCCTCCTCCTCCTCCTCCTCGTCCTCCACCTCCTTCCCCCCTTCAACTCATGGTGGTGGTGGTGGAAAACAGGCCCACCACCTACACATAAACTTTCGGAGGGCCGCGTGGAGTTCTCGGATCGGCGCCGGAGCCTCCCGACGAACGTTACAGTCGAGGAAGGACCAATGGCATCCCACAGTCGGCCCTGATTAGTAGGTCGACATTGCCAGCTCAAGGGTAACCCCATGCCCCCGAGAATAACCCCCCAGGGATAATAAAGTTCGGCGGTTACGGGGTGATGATGAAAGTTGCCCACCAGAGGCCAGCATAAAGATGTCAACAGAGGAGCCAAAGCCGAGGATATCTTGAGACATCCTTGGCTTTTGGTCCTCTCTGAAACATCCTCAACAGATTTCGATCGATTTTTTGGGGGTCCCTATAGATTTCTCTACATCCCTATGGATTTTTCTACATCCCTATAGATTTCTACATGAATATTTATAGATTTCGATCGATTCCTTTGGGTTTCTTTAGATTCCTACGGATTCCTTATAGATCTCTATGAGTTTAATATTAATTGTTATAGAAGTGAATTGACGCTTGCGTCGGCCTCATTAACGAGTTCCATGGATAGCGAACTCCAGCGATAAACAAGTTCAGGGGGGTAGGGGGAGGAGAAGAAAGATAGAGAGATACATAGAAATATAGAAAGAGAAGAGGAGGTAGAGGAGGAAGAGGAGGAGGAGGAGGAAGAGGAGAAACAGCAAGAGGAGGAGAGGAGAAGGAGATAGCAAAAATCCAAAGTTCAAACCATTTAATTTGTAAACGCTTAATGGAAATAAAAGAAATCATCTGCTCGTGTAGGGTAGCACATCTGCCTCGGTTTCCTTGGATAACAAAGCACAGCGATAAACAAGTTCAGGGGCCACGGGGAGGAAGAGAAAGAAGCATTGATCGTTTCGTTTGAGGCTGCCTCCCGAAATTATTGGTTTCGCTTGAGATATCCTGAAAAGCGTGTTCGCTTCGGTTGGTATTGTTATCTCAACATAAGAAGGAAGTAACCTCGATGGTGAACTTTCCCAGTGATAATGAAGTTCGGCCTCCGCGCCCTCCGCCTATATTTGAAACCCTTCTAGGCCGACGATAAAGAACTCTAACGACTTAGGGGGGGTACATTATTATCGTGGGCATGGGGTTACCCTTGTGTCCTGTGCCTCGCGACACGCGACTTCTTACACTCCTACGGCGATGTGGCCTTCGGAAGGGTCTTGTGTCCTCTCGCGTGTCCTCTCCAATCAAGTCCGACTGTACACACAAACTTTCGGAGGGCCGCGCGCAATGCTCTGATCGGCGCCAGAGCCTCCCGGCGACGCCTCCACCCTTCGCCCAGGGGCGGGCTCGGGGGGGCCTTGGGAGCTGCGGTGGCCGATTCACTCCTGGGCTGCCCTCCGCTGACCCGAAGAGGAGGACGACGAAGAGGAGGAGGAGGAGGAGGAGGTGGAGGAGGAGGGGGCGGAGGAGGAGGAGGTGGAGGAGGAGGAGGAGGAGGGGGAGGACCCCTTCCCCCTCCTACTTATGGTGGTGGTGGTGGTGGAAAACACGCCCACTAAGAAAGGGAAAGGAAAAGCCCGACGAGCGTCATAATCGAGGACGGACCAGTGACATCCTGCACGTAAACTTTCGGAGGGCCGCGCGGAGTTCTCGGATCGGCGCCGGAGCCTTTCGGATCGGCGCCTCCGCCACCGCCCAAGAGCGGGCTCTCGGGGGTTCGGGAGCTGCGGCGGCCGATTCCCTCCTGGGCTTATGATGTTCCAACCTACTTTAGCCTTGACCACCAGAAAGAATTGTGAGCACTCCAAAAAACATGATGGACCCACGAACCCGGAAAGGGATATAGACATGTGGAGCATGGACACGTTTTCACGATACCCAACTGGGCAACACCTCACGAAACATCCCACGAGACACTTCACGAAACATCCCACGAGACACCTCACGAAACATTCCACGAGACACCTCACGAAACATTCCACGAGACACCCCGCGAAACATTCCACGAGACACCCCACGAAACATTCCACGACGACAGGCAACCACTCAACCAAGGCGGTGTGGTCGTGCTGGGGAGTGGTCGTGCTGGGGTGTGGTCGTGCTGGGGGGTGGTCGTGCTGGGGGGTGGTCGTGCTGGGGGGTGGTCGTGCTGGGGGGTGGTCGTGCTGGGGCGTGGTCGTGCTGGGGCGTGGTCGTGCTGGGGCGTGGTCGTGCTGGTCGTGCGTGGTCGTGCTGGGGTGTGGTCGTGCTGGGGTGTGGTCGTGCTGGGGTGTGGTCGTGCTGGGGTGGGGTGCTGGGGTGTGGTCGTGCTGGGGTGTGGTCGTGCTGGGGTGGGGTCGTGCTGGGGTCGTGCTGGGGTGGTCGTGCTGGTCGTGCTGGTCGTGCTGGGTGTGTGGTCGTGCTGGGGTGTGGTCGTGCTGGTCGTGTGTGGTCGTGCTGGTGGCGTGGTCGTGCTGGTGGTGGGGTCGTGCTGGGGTGGGGTCGTGCTGGGGTGTGGTCGTGCTGGGGTGGTCCGGTGATTGTCGGGTCGTGCTGGGGTGTGGTCGTGCTGGGGTGTGGTCGTGCTGGGGTGTGGTCGTGCTGGGGTGTGGTCGTGCTGGGGTGTGGTCGTGCTGGGGTGTGGTCGTGCTGGGGTGTGGTCGTGCTGGGCGTGGTCGTGCTGGGGTGTGGTCATGCTGGGGGTGTGGTCGTGCTGAGGTGTCCCGCACCCTGTGATTTATCGATCGGGATTTCAAAAACAAGCGTCTCGCCTGAGACATCCTCAAATTTTAATCCGCCGGCCTCCTTCGACTTCGATATTTAACAGGGAAAGAATCCGCCGGCCTCCTTCAAGTTGGGCACCGGGGACACGTTTACATACTAAAAGAGAACCCTGGGCCAAAGCCCTTTCCGGGAATAAAGAATTCCTATGGTTTTCACGTGTCGGGCCCTGGGAGACATTCGCCCGACACTGTTTCGACACTTTTTCGACGCTTTTCCGGGTTCCCGAGATTATTTCTGGGATATGGTCCTTAAGTACGATGTGAGTTACATGTTCCTGGGCTGCCCTCCGCTGACCCTGGTTTGTGAGTTACCAAGCGTTAAGCCAGGCATGTCCCTCTTCAGGAGGTGATTAACTATTCAAAGACAATCAAGAGTAGTCTGGGGACAACTTTACCATCACAGCCGACTCTGTTTGAGTATATGTTGTTGCTATGTGTATCTTTCCTTCCAAAAGCCGCCCGTAGGAGGACATGCCCGACCTAACCCTGGGCTGCCCTCCGATGGCCCTGGCTTAGGAGCCGCGAAGCGGCCGCCCGCGCTCCGCGACAGGGGCCTGACCGGCCCAGTCTTTGGCTGACCAGGGGCGGATGCGTCCCTTCAAAGAGGGCGCTCCACGTCCTCCCCATGCCTTGGCACCGCTCGGACGGGTGCATGTTTCCTTCGGCGAGGACCATCGAGGAGCATCCTTGATCATTTGGCGACGGAACCACGCACGAAACCAACAAAAAACAGGGAATGGACGTCCGAGCGAGGGCCACATGCCGCCTCTCCCGCTCGGCCTTCAATCAGCGAGCGGCCACGTCGCGGAGGAACATGTCGAACACTCAAGACGGAGTTTGTTTCGCTGGTGCTGGCCTCCGGGGGCCCCCGGCGGGTCTCGGGACCGTCAGAGACGGTGCGGGTGAGACAGCGGCTTCGGAGGCCCCGCACTAAAAAAAAAACAGGGCATCGGACCTTTGGGAACGCGTGCTGGTGCCAACCTGCAGAGGGACTATAGGGTTGCAGTGGCCCAGGGGAGGGGGTAGAGGGATGGGTCAAGACTTGCTTCCCCGCCCGCAAGCCGTCTCGCTCACTCCCACCCGCCCTCCCAACACATACGTAGCACCCGAGCCTGGCCCGAACCGCAGCATATTCAGCAATTGTCTTCAGCAATTGTCTTCGGGCCGAATCCGCCGCCGCCGCCTCCGCCGCCGCCGCCGCCCGCCGCCGCCGCCGCCGCGCCGCCACCGCCGCCGCCACTGTCCGCCGCCGCCGCCGCCACCGCGCCGCCCGCCGCCGCCGCCGCCGCCGCCGCCCCCGCTGCCGAATCGCCGCCGCAGCCGCTGCCGCCGCAGCTTGGAATGAAGGTCGTATGCACAGGTTCTGGTATGTGGAACAGATTCAAAGTAGGGACAAATTAGGTTGCGAAAGTAGATTGTTATCACATCTTCAACATATATACATATACCATAGGACTAGGCCCGCCGCAGGCGCCGAATCTACCACCAGACAACAAATTTCGATCGCAAGCCCGCCGCAGGCGCCGATTTGGATTGAAGCCTGAACCAACATGAGGATGGCGAGCCCGCCGCAGACGCCGATTTTATCGCCAGAGCGCGAATTCTTGTCGCAAGCCCACCGCAGGCGCGGATTTTTCATTGAAGCGATAAAAAACATGAGGGCGGCAAGCCCGCCGCGGGCGCCGATTTTATCGCCAGAACGCGAATTCTTGTCGCAAGCCCACCGCAGGCGCCAGTTTTTCAGTGATGCCTTAAATGGAATGAAGATCGCGAGCCCGCTGCAGGCGCCGATTTTTTCAAGAACCACGGGGAGATCGCAAGCCCGCCGCCAGCGCCGATTTTTTCTTGCACCGAAAGGGCCCTTCCCCTCCCACGACGCCGCGGAGGCCCCCCCATTGGCGGGCCTGCCGCCCCCCCCCTTGGCCGGAAGAACAAAGAAATAACGGAACGACTTGCCGACCCCAGAGCAACCAACACGCGCGCGACTTGAAACGAATTCGCGTGGGCGGAACCCCCCCCTCACTCCGATGTTGGCCTCTCGGGGCCTTTTTCGGAGGACTCTTGA